CGCCCAAATGGTATGAACAAACTAAATGACTTCACCAGGATGAAGGGAACTAGATCTTGACATCAAGACTATTCCCTTCAAATAGTGTGTAAACTTTGGTTAATTCATGTAATGAATTTTAAATAACCCTAACATTTGTATTTAATTGTTTGTTATTCCTATTATCCGATAAACAGTCCTAAAAATATTTGAAATTTTACAGACCAAAAAAAAAAAAAAAAAAAAAAAAAAAAAGAAAGAAAGAAAAAGAAAGAAAGACATATTTCAGAGTTACTTCAAATCAATTGGTTATTCATCTTTCAAATTAAGCATATGACATTGTAAATATATATGGCTCATTTGTAGTGCTAGTTGTTTTGTTTTTCTACTTCCTTGTCTTTTTATGGTCTTGTAATCTTTAATTTGTCCTGAGGAAGGGAAATGTTCCGAAAATTTGAGAATTGCTTTTGTCGTTGATAGTTTTTAGTGCTTTGTAGAAATTTCCATATTGACCTTGACTCTCTCTCTCTCTCAATATATATATATATATATATATATATATATATATATATATATATATATATATATATATATATATATATATATATATATATATATATATATATATGCAATACCTCTATTTCTAAAAAAATAAATAAAGATCTCTTTGATTAAATTACGGAAACAAATACAGAAATGTCTTAGTTCTTATTTACTTCTAGGTCTGGTGTAGTATACTTGCACCTGCAATTTTGTCTCCATGTAAAGAAAATAATATTTATGTTAAAGGAAATAAAACTTTGCTTTCTTTATATAAAAGCACAACTAGGTATAATTTAAAGTAAAATGATTAATGAAAATGCAGCACTGTTAAAACAGAAAACTGATTAAAGCTCAAAATTAAACGTTTTCTTGACTCTTACCCCCCCCCCCCCCCAAGTCATTCATTTATTTTAATTTCATCATATTACCTTCCTTTGCACTGCTCACGGCGTCGTAGTTATACACAGTGTGAGAGGGAAGAATCTCATATTGCTATCTCACTCTGGACAAGCCTAACACTGGTGATAATGCGAGAAATTATGATATTGCATAACACATTTCATCATAATAAATAACACTATACTTTATTCGAAAAGTGGTATAGTATGACGCTTCTTTGCATAGAGAATAAGTTAAAACAAACGTTATGAAAATAATAAATATAGGACACGCAGAGAATGATCAGTTATAGAATCTTTCACCTCTTAATCAAAAAGTTAAATCCTAAATGTAAAAAGAAAAAATTCTAAATTTAAGAAGTTCAGCAAAGTTTTGAACACTTAAGAGTTGCAAAGATTTTTAACTGCGGAGCCCTGATCCCCCTCCCCCCTCCCCCGAAAAAAAAAACTTTTTGTGTTTAAACTTTTTTGTGTTTAAGTTTGTCTAAGTAGGACAGATCAAACATGAAATCTATCTTTTATGCTAACTTACAATGTAACAGAGTTAAACAATTTAGTATTTTTTAGACGTCCTCTTCCAGACTGCAAGATGGAGTTAAACCATTCTTTTTTCTTTTTGTTTCTTTTTTTTTTTTTTTTTTTTGATAAAGGGTGACAAGCAATACTATATGGTTTAATGATTCATAATTTAAAATGTTTTTTTAAATGTACATTTTAATGAAAAATTAATTTCAGCCATTCGTTTTTATATGAAATTATGCATTGACAATAAGAAATAATTACTGCAAACCATTTTTTCTTCTTCAAACTAAATACGTTTGTACATCAAAGGTCATTTCAAAAAACCTTAATTTATACTTTGTAAACTTTTTAATATCATTAGGGCTGTGACTTTCTTAGTCTTTACATCCGTAAATCATCTTTGCAATTAAAAAAAGTGTCAAAAAGAGATGATAGTGATAGTTTTAAGACATATTTGATTGATTTTATGTTTCCAAGAAACATTACCTTTTGATCGATTTTACATCATCAGCGCTGTCTTGCGTTGCATTTATTGTTCCTTTTTGATTCAAGAGTACTGCGATTGATTAAATTTGGTTTACAACGTTTTCTTCACTCCTTAAATTTTTTCATCATTTTAAAAAACAACATTTTTTTGTTTTGGATACATTTACAGAGACTTTCCATTTTGAGGAAAAATTCTTTAGTATTTTCTGCAAAAAACAAATATTTTATCAATAAAGCTCATGTCATTCACATTCTGTTTTAGATATAATTCTAATTATCTACATGTAAAATATCAAAATTTACAATCGACAGTCGTCTAACCACTTTGGTTTAATAAGAATTCGTTTTTGGTCAACACCTCAAACCAAATTAATAACATTTTATATGTCATTGATCTGACTTAATACACTTTTTTTATTGCTATAACAGACCCCTAAAAATTTAATTCGATAGTTTAAAATTGAGAGTTTGATTCTCACCTATCTTATTCTGACACAGTGGATAATCTATTTTCCCCATTTCTATCACAAGCTATTACGTATAATACATCTGACCGTAGTTCATATACTTCAAACGGACATCGTCAAAACGAGGCATTATATCATATCCTCGCTCAAGCCTCTCCCTAAGAACCCAGACCCAATTATTTGAGTTTTCTTGTCTCACTGGTTCTAACATTCTGGCATTCTGTTCATTAATTCTAAGGGTAAGGTAGTTTTTCTATCTAATAAAAATTTAGTATAAACTGCAGAGACGTCTTCGGCCGACCCATATACCATCATAACTAAAGGGAGATAGTTCATCCTATATCTTGCGGACCGATCAAAAATATTTTTGAATTCGATATAACGATTTTTCAAATTTGTTGAAACGAATATAATTCGTGTTATCAATTTCTTTGAATTCGTTATAACAAATTTAATCCGTTATGACAAATTTGTTGAATTCTTTATAACGAATTCAAAAATTTGTTTGAACGAATTCAATTCGTTTTAACAAAGTCGACAATTCAATATATCAAATTCAAAAATATTTTTGATAGGTTCTAAACAGGCTTCCGTATAATATCCATAAAGCACGATTAAGCGAAAAAAAATAAAAGGGAATAAAAAGTGATTTATAGCATAAAACACACTTTACGAAAGAGCTCGTACCCAAATTGTCTTTCTTGATCCAAATGAACTATCATACGCATTCCAAACCCCGAAAAACTTGCTCCACTATTTCTTTTTTCTATTTTTTTTCTATGTTTTGGCCTCTTTTTTGGACTTGAGAGCAATTTGTCCATATTTGAAATAGTCAGAGATTACTGGGATGAAATATGAGGTTAATAAACAATGATCATTCTCAAAAGTTCATTTAACAATACAAATTATGAGCAGTGACAAGTGTCATGGAGGAGTAAACATCCTCTGTCGACCTGTCACACCGTCGTGTGCTCCTTGTCATGATCAGGCCAACTAAAAATTTATCTATTAAAAAAAATCAGAGTGAAAATAATGTCCTACCAAATTGTATGTAAGACGTTAGTTCACATTCGACTTCACGACAGATTGTATTTACAAACAAAGTCATTGTATCGATCACAGAGTTCGAGAATTTTTTAAATTGTTGATATCCTTGTTGCATTAATTAATTTGTTAATAGCTTGCGCCCTTTCAGAAATTTTTCGTACGTAGAACATGCTCTTGCGTATCGAATTAACTGGGAGACATAGACTCCATATGTAGGTGATGATGGTATATTACTACATTAATGAGGGAAGTTGACGATAGAAAAGTTGATGACATCTTGTTTCTCATTAAGTTTAGCTGCCATTTTGCTACCAATGCATTTCGCTAGTAAAATATCCAATAAGAAACATGTGTCAGACTCTGAACCGTCTTTTACTTCGAGTTCCATTGGATATATTGAATCCATGTTGGAATGAAAACTGAATATTATTAATTGGTAAAACGTGAATACATGAAGTGGTTTAGCAATAGCTGAAAAATTAGAAGCAAATTTTCGGTAGTACCCAAGCCTAAAAAGGATCTCTGAACGGATATTATTGCGTGGTTGAGGTCTTTTTGCTTCTCTGGATCAGTCGAGATTCTGTGCACCGATACGACATGTCCATTGTAGTCAAAACCTTTTGCGAATAGTTCAGCTTTGATCATGTTGTAGCCAGTTTTTCCGAACTAAAAGAAGATAGCACGTGTATAAAATTGACCTTCGAAATTTTAACAACAATAAAGAAACTGATACACATCGCATTTTACTTGAATAAAAAAAGAACATGGCTCTAGCTGTGAAAATTCGGAAAAACTTTCAAGATATAGACATAAAATCAATCCAAAAAGTGTCCTATTGATATTTACGTAAGATTATTATACTTTCATTAATTCACTTGTTTTTATAATTTTTTAAAGAGCTTGCATCTTCTGCTACCTAAATGTCTGTCATACACCAGGTGACGAGACTTCCTTTTCTGGATAGTGCAACAGTTAGCTTATTAATAATAGAACAACAAGTCTTAGTTGTTTTTGCCTAATAAATCAAAGATACATTGTTGATATGGTCAAATGATCCACAATTTGGATTTCAAAGTTAAAAGGGAACAACTGTTTTTGTACATTGATCAAACGGTCATAAAAAAAGAAAAAAAATAGTCTTTATTGTTTTTTATAGATTACACAAAAACATTTTATGTTGCAAAGTGTCATGTCATACTTTTTTTGAATAATATTACAAGAAAACTTCAAACAATAGAATATTATTTTCTGTGAGTTTGAAACATTTTAGGTTAAATTTTAAATTTTTTTATGAGGAAATAGGCGGTGTAGAATGTCTAAAATATTTCTAGCTTTATAAAAATCAATATATAGGTATTTAAACCACACCTTTATGCGAATTACAGTATCAAACCCTGTTTTTCATTGGTTTGAAATTTGAATTGACAAATTATGATTGTGTGAAGACAAATTTATTCATGAGATGTAAGTTGCATTCTGATTGGTCAATCAATAAAGTTCTCATACGATTAAAAGGCCTAAATTGATTCTTTGATCTTTTAAAACACATTTGACAAGGATGCAGGAAATGTATGTAATAATAATTTGTGCCTCTATCCTTTACAATGCTGATGCTCAGGTAACCTTGGATTCTATTGTGAACAATGCTATTCAGAGCGCGTTCCGTGGTGGTGGAGGAAGAACACCCATTGCAACTTTTCTTGGAGGTCAGGGAGGGATCGCTCCGGTTCCTGGAAGTTAGTATTTATTATGTTAAAAATTATTAAGTGGTCCTTAAATTTGAAAGATATAAAATTTACAACATTATATATATATATATATTGTAACGAAACCGAGGGTATAAGGTTATTACTTAATCAGTTAATCGTGGGCCGCTGTTGGTTACTGTTAACTGGTCAAGGTTGAAATGGTTATCCACAAAATTTATATAAAATCGGAATAACGACCAATTTTTGATCCACTAAATAATTGGCGAAATGACCAAATTTTAGTTCACTATAATATCTGCACTAGAACCGTGACGAATAACACGTTGTAAAGTTTATGATATTTATTAAGACGATCAAATGGTTCATTTATAAGCACAATGATAAACCTGGTTGGTACAACGTTATTTGGTTAATACAAAGATGACGAACCAATGGTCAATCCAGGACGTTTCTACTCTAAATGACTCTCCACTAATGATTTCGTATACATAGACTTGGTACTGTTTGTACATACCACTGTCTTACACCCGAAGTATACGGAGTCACAACCCAATGCAGACTGACTTCTAAACACAAAACAGCTGTCTTTTATAGACAAAAGTTGTTATGATGACGTATAAACGTCAGATACCAATAACGTCACAATCAATATCTAATTTGTAAGTTAGCGGGTTTTGACCACTAAAATTACTTAATAACGTTGTACCTATATAGAACATATACAACATAACGCTTTGTAATTACAATACATAAATCAAATTGATAAAGTTCAAATAATAAATCATTGTTCAATTCTTTCGTTCATTGTTCATTGACATATATTTTAGTAGTTTATATACATCGGGTTCAGGGTCCGTTTATTCGGAACTTGTCAACAACAGTTAATCCGAATTTCACAGGTAAACTTATCGGAACGTAACAATATATATATATATATATATATATATATATATATATATATATATATATATATATATATATATATATATATATATATATATATATATATATATATATATATATATATATATATATATATATATATATGACATTATCAGTAAATATTGTTAATTTTTCACCCTGTCCCTTCCTAAGGACAAACAAAAGATAAGAAAGTCATATAAGTAAGCAAAAGAATTTGAAATTAAAAAAAAGAAACATTAAATATTTAACCTTTATACCTTATCTATATTTATTTATACCTGTCCGCTTTCCACCTATGATATCTCTCTTGTTCCAAAATCGAAAAAAACTGTTTCAAATTGTAAATAAACTGCCTTAAATACCTACATTAAAAGCTTGGTCAATCTGTAACTAAGATGAAGCAGGGAGGATTCATATAAACGGTTACATTTATATGACCAGAGTTTTCTTCTGAAACGCCATTCTATATTTTCTCAGATATATACACTATATGATATTAGCTTTCAATTATAATAATTTGATATTTTGAGGGTAACTTTACTTTCAGCTGTGTTCATTTAAATATCTTGTAGAACAGAATAAATCATAAGAAAAATGTAATATCTGATCTACTGACACCTATAGGAAAGTCAGTGTTTTTCAAAACAAAAGCTACTACTTCAAATTAAAATTTACTTCCTGCTGCTTTAAAGAATTCACTAACGAATGAAATATATGGAGATAACGAACAGTATTCAAGCTCAAAAGTCCATTAAACAATACAAAATAGGAGCAGAGCAAACACGGTCCTCTAAACGTCAGAGGTTGGATCAGGTGCCATGGAGGAGTGAGCATCCCCTGCCGACCGGTCACACCCGCCGTGTGCTCCTTGTCATGATCGGGAAATAACGGAAAAATCCGTCGACAATTCAGTGTGTAAATTATGGCCTAACAATTAGTATGAAAAAACGTCAGTCAGCATTTGACTCAATGATAAATTGTATTTGCTGACAAGGTCATTGTATCGAACATAGAACTTACGAAATGAAGACTTTAAACGGGACAGCTGATATTCTTGTTTCATCAACTTGTTTGTCAATAATTTACCTCGTTTTAGAAATTGTTCATACGTAGAGCATGCTCTTGCGTATCGAATCAACTGAGAGATATATACCCCGTTTGCAGGTGACGAAGGTATATTGCTGCATAAGTAAGGGAAGTTGACGATTGAAAAGTTAAAGTCATCACGTTTATCATAAAGCTTGGTTGTTAGATTACCATTAACGTCTTTTTCAAGTAAAATATCCAAATATGAAACAGATGTGTCAGACTCTGTGGTATCTTTTATCTCAAGCTCACCAGGATATATCGTATCGACATAAGAATGAAAATAGCCATTGTTAATTGACAATACATCGTCGATATATCTAAATGTCGAGTTGAAGGCCACAGCAAGTGTTTTCTTCTTTTCACGTACAAGATTTTGGACAAATTCTGCTTCATATGAATACAAAAAAAGGTCTGCTAATAACGGGGCGCAATTGGTACCCATGGGAATTCCAATAGATTGTTGGAAGACCTGGTCTCCAAAAACCACATAGATATTGTCAATCAGAAACTCAAGCATCTTTTTAATGTCAACTTCAGAGTACTTGTGTGTACAATCAGAATGTTTTTTAACAAAATAATTTTGCAAATGACCAATGACAAGGTAAGTATATTTACGAGTTCCATTTTTATTGAAAAAGCAGCTGTCAATTATATCAAAAAGCCTGGACTTTAATTTATCGTGGGGAATGGTTGTGTATAAAGTAGAAAAGTCATAAGTTTTTAAGCTGTTGATTTTGGTAAAATCTTGTGATTTCAAATTTTCCAAAAGTTCCTTGGAATACTAAACTATAATTGAATATCGCTGATATAAATAGATGTTCGAATACTGTTCATTATCTCCACACATTTCATGTAATCGCTCCATTATCAATTATCAATGTATGGACATTAAGACTCAAATTTACAAAATTGAAACACTTACTTATACATTTATACCTCTGTAGGACGAACAGTAAGCAGAGATGTAGCATCTTTACCGACTCCAGGCTCCATATCAGGCTCTGGAGCCTACCAGGCCTTAGCCAGGTTCTCTCGGAGTAACTCGCCAGCTACTATTGCAATGCTTCATGACCGTTCGATGAGGGCGTCTCTTGCATCAAGAATGATAGCACAAGAGTTCGTATCAATATTTCTAGAAGTTAATAAATGTAAAAAATGCTCTTATTAATAATTCTTAGTAACAGAGAGAATATTTTATCATTGAAGACGCAATGTCAACAAAAGCAATTGTAAAATAATTTCTATATTTCTCTTTTATTCGTCAATTTTTAGCCCGGCAGTTGGAGGACCTGCAGGAGATGGCTTCCAGAGAGCAGTCTCAGATCCCCAGATTACTTCAAGATATCAAAGAGCATTCATTCCATACTGTTATCAGATGCCAGCTTGTAACGTTAAAGATCCCTATCGACGAACAGATGGACAATGTAACAATCTGATTAACCCTCTCCTGGGATCTTCAAATACGCCGCAACAACGAGTTTTACCTGCTGCCTACGACAACTGTAAGAACTATAATTATTATTACTGGAAATATTTAACGTCCATTTTTTATAAAACGCTAGGTTCACAACAAATTGCAAATGGAAAAATGCCAAAATTTACTTGTTTGTTTGTTTGTTTGTTTTTTTTTTTTTTGGGGGGGGGGTTACATGAATAATTCCACCCGTTTCCGAGTATGATTAGAAATATTTACATTTGCAAATGTTTTCTTTTATATATCACTATTGAAAGCAACGCGTATCTATATCCGAATATTTACATTTGCAAATGTTTTCTTTTATATAACACTATTAAAAGCAACGCGTATCTATATCCGTATAAACAAGGGTTCCTCGCGTCATAAACGTTCGACGTAATTTCTCAGTGACGTCATAAAGGGTTGACGCGCAATCAATAGATCAAACTCGTGCCGTTGAGTTTGAAAAAATAAAACATTTCACGCGTTAAAGGTTATAATCAGGCTAATATATAATATGAATAAGTCATAAATGTAAATATAAGTAATAATGTATCATTTTAAAACATCTATTGGGATATAAATACGGGTTGGTACGAGATCAAATTTACCATAAAGCCCTTCGGGCTTTATGGAATTTGATCTCGTGACCAACCCGTATTTATGTCCCGATAGATGTTTAAAAATGATACATTATTTCTTAAATGAACACAGATTCCTCACGTCATTAATGTTCGACGTAATTTCTGAGTGACGTCATAAAGGGTCGACGCGCAATCAATAGATCAAACTTGTGCCGTTGAGTTTGAAAAATAAAACATTTCACGCTTTAAAGATTATCCTCAGGCAAGTGCCGAGTATTAGACAAAATTTGCAGCTCTCCACCGGCAAATGGTGGCGTCTTCATATGATTGAAAAATTCTCGAGAGGGACATAAACAACATACAAACAAACAAACAAATCAGGCAAATATAAAATATGATTAAGTCACAAATGTAAATATAAGTAGGGTAGAGTGGGGTAATTTCGACACTTTTGCTGATTTGTGGCTTTCAATCCACAAAACACGACTGTTTTCAAATGTACTAGTTTGAAAAAGATTCAAAGTATTTAGGATGATTTTTTTCTTCATATTTTTCTGCTTTAGGAGTTAAAAATGCATAAAAAATAATGAATTGGTTTAAAAATAAGTAAGCATGTTGCATGGGTTAATTTCGACCGGCCTCGGGGTAATTTCGACCACAACAAACATCAAAAAGAAAGATAACTCTTGCAATGCAAGTACATTTTACCTGTCGCATTTTATTCAAACTTTATGGTCCGAGAAACTACTTAGTATATTGCCTTATTTAGAAAATACGTGTATCTATCTCTATCTCTCTCAAGAAAAAGATTAAAATGGATAAGTACTAGTATCCATACAGTTAAGAATTGGTTGGGTTACTTAAGCTTTTCAATGCTGTCTTATAGACATCTTAATTCTTATTCTTTATTCTAAATTCTGCTTTTAATTCGCCAACTCTATATTTAAATATTGTGATATATAGTTATGCAAATAGGTAGAATTTTCTCAGATTCCACAAAAATATCTTTCTTATGAATTTTAAATTGTCCAACCAAAAAGGGATTTTATTTAATATCGTCTTTTCACTACAGAATCATTCGAATTGTATATATATGTATAAGGTTTGAGCATAGCATTAGAATTGCGTATATTTTACTTCACTAATTTTTACCATATACACATTCATTTGGAATGCGTTGTATAACGTATTTTACGTGTTTTGTTAACTCTTAAGAGATAGATCCTGAGAAATTCGATCAATTAAATGAAGATTTACAGAAGCAAAGTCCTCTGACCCCCCCCCCCCCCCCCCCGTGTGTAACATCATAGTGGGTTTTTTTCTCAAGATTGTTGCGGCTCTTTTGGTGTGTTCTGATATTTTGGGTACTATTTGGATTTGTGTACCTGGACTGTGTGATACGATCTTAATACGACTGGTTCGTTGGTTTTCGATAGCCTCAGTCTTATCCGTCAAAGTTTACGCATTCGTAATAATGAAAAATTTTTACAAAAACCTGATTTTTTTTTTTTTTTTTTTTTTTTTACATATATTTAATATTGCCTGCATCCTCTCTTTTGTTAATTTGACAGGTTTGGAATCTTTTGGATGGCTCTTGACATGTGTTAATTCAAAGTCAGTGCCGACTCCGTGTTCTCTCGCACTTCGATAGTGATGCACCCTCGTGAAAGGCCCGGGCAATATATATAGCTGGGCATGCATATGTTAATTAATCTGACATATTTTTTTTTAAATATAAAAGGTTATATGTATACTGTATATGTACAATATATTGTACATATACAGTATAATCTTTTTTTTTGAAGATCTAACTCTGCATTGCATTAAACAGCTGTTAAAGACAACTTACACATATTTCAGAATAAGTGGCCGAATTTACCCCGCGTCCTTAAAATCAGCAGGGGTAATTTCGAGCCAAATCAAATGGACGTTTCTTGTGCATTTTGAGAGAAATCCAAGATAAATTTGTAAAATTCTGCAACTTAACGATATTCCAAGAAAAAAATAAAACAATTTTAATTTAATTCGTGCTGTAGACTGTTGAACAAGGTTAAACTTAAAAAGAGGTTGTACGAGTTGTCTCTCTTGCATTTCCTTGATCGAATCAAGCGCACAGAAGACCAGGACTTCGAACGTCTTGAACTGGAGACATAAATATTAGTAAAAATATTATTTATATCTCTGATCAAACCATATTTGCGATGAATAATTATACTAGGACACACAATTTGAGGAATAGTTTTCCAGAATTCCTAATAAATTAAACTTGTCTCAACACTTCCGTAGATCTTTGTGTGGTGGTGTGTTCCTGTGGTCGAAATTAAACGGTGGTCGAAATTACCCTGACTTACCCTAATAAGGTATCATCTTAAAACATCTATCTGGATATATACGGGTTGATACGAGATCAAATTTACCATAAAGCCCTTCGGGTTTTATGGAATTTGATTTCGTGACCAACCGTATCTATATCCCGATAGATGTTTAAAAATGATACCTTATTTCTTAACTAACCAATATTATAATGCTGAATTGCTATTTTTATAATTGGCAATGAATTATCTTATAATTATGCAGGGATTGATACTCCAAGAACCCTTTCCCGGGTTGGGAATATGCCCTTGCCAAGTGCTCGAACAGTCAGTAACAACGTGTTCCAGTTCATTGGAGGGGGCATGACCCCTGTCAGCGCCGCATTCTCTACCTACCTCACCCACCACGGACAGTTCATTGACCATGACGTCATTTCCACCCCATCTGTAGAGTGTAAGTAATTTTTGTCATTACTAAAGCTGCACAGTGTTCTTTTTTAATTTAAGAAATGATTGATTAGTTTGGATGTCAATTTTACCAATAATCCATCTTCGAATATTCAATGAAAGTATTCGAATATATTCGAATATTCGATAAAATAAATAAAATTCGGATTATTTCATATTTGTCAGTCAATGTTTAAAATAAATTTGATTTTAAAAATTGATATCTATATAGGTTCAAACTGACGAACTAGGGGTAAGAATGTCGTTTACTCTTCAGATTTAAATAAACGTAATTAATTAAAATTATCTGCTTGATAAGATATATTATATAATATTTGATACAATATTTTGAAAATATAAACAAACACTTCCATAGACAATTTCCCAAGGTCATTAATTTCCCGATAATGATTTTAAAATTAAGGAATATATTCAACCCGAGATAATCAAGTAATTAATGCATTATTCTGAAATTGAGCCCATTACAATATTATAGGCTTCGATTCTATCAAAGATATTTTTCTATGATCAATAAAATACACTCTTCACGTATCTAAGACATTCAAGAAAGGGTTTCATTTCGTTGTCCTCGATTCTAGATCCGATCACATTAAACTATTGAAAGTACTTTTTGTATTATACATTAATAATTCTATTTTATTTCTTTTATACCCTTCTCAGAGTGAAATAAAACGTGGAAATAATTCCAGGATTGTTCTAAATAAAGTTTATTATCTTTTTTTGGGGCGAAATCTGAAAACACCGAACAATCAAATATTAAATTCCTAATCGAATTAACTCATCTAATTAAATATATTCGAATTTTTTTTTTACATCCCTATTGATTAGATATGTTTTTATTCGTTTGTTTGTCTGGTTTATGTCTTTTACTAATAACAATGCTGTACATCGAAATTGTAGAGAGGTATTTTGAAATAATATTACAAATTATTTTATTATACCCCTGCTTGAAAAGTGGGAGGGTATATAGTGATCGGGATGTCCGTCCGTCTGTACGTCCGTCCGTCCGTCTGTACGTCCGTCCGTCCATCCGTCTGTTACGCTTTGGGGTACCCATATCTTATCCGCAACTCCTCTTATACCACTGAATGAACTTTAATGAAACTTTCACTGAATCTTTGTTACATAGTGTCATTGTGCACCTCCTATTTTACTTTTTGACCGGACACGTATTTCGGGTTTTCCATAGCAAAATATGGACACTGCCATTCTTTCTTTAATATTTACATCTGTAAGGGTACCCAACTCTTATTCGCAACTCCTCCTATACCACTGAATAAAATTTGATGATACTTTCACAGATTCTTTAATACATAATGCCATTGTGCACCTCCTATTTTACTTTTTGATCTGACACTTATTTCGGGTTTCCGAGAGCAAAACATGGACTTTGCAATTATAATCATATGGGAGGCTGGGGGTATCATTTAGTGAGCTCAGTGCTCACAGTATCTCTAGTTCTTAATAGTATTGCAACACCGTTCTATGAATTTGATGTATAGTATCTTGGTTCTAGATAATCTTTTCATATATACAGGGTTTTATTTAATAAAAACAAGAAAATCTCAGACTCGCAGACCTGATTTTTGTATTTGTATGAAACATAATTCTATTCAAAATTTCTACAGAAAAAGCAGAATTCGCTGTAGCCTTCATATCGACTTGTTTGCAAATACAATCTTTCGTTACGTCGATATTTTGACTGACGTCTTTAAACCAAATCTTTGGGCCATTATATTCACACTGAATTGTCTACGTATTTTCCCGTTTACTCGATTATGACAAGGGGCACACGGCCGGAGTGATCGGTCGACAAAGGATACTTTTCTTCCATGGCACCTGATCACATCTCTGCTTTTCAGAGGTCTGTATTTGCTCTGCACACAAATTGTATTGTTGAATTCGACTTTGGAACATGATTACCGTTCAATATCTTCAAAGTTAATTATAAATCCTCCTATTAAAAACAACAGGGCAATAGTAAGTGATATAAATTAAAGTAATACAATCATCTTCAGGAAGTGCAGATTCAAGTCTTTTTCAAATCGAGTCCCACCACTTTTGCGTAGGGTAGGATGGGGCCCAAAAGGGGACAGAAGTTTTACATGGGAATATATAAGGACATTGTTTTAAAATCTTCTCAATAACAGCAGGGCGATGATTAGTGATAATAATGAATGAAAGCATTTAAAGGCAGTGTAGATTCCAGTTTCACGCAGGTGAATGTGTTCTATGGGTTTCTTGTTACGTCTATTTCAAATATTTTATTTAGAATCTAAAATAGGTTTCAAATCTCATGCTTCAAAGATACTTGGAACATAAACATCGTCGTATGTCGTTGGTACATAACGTTTTCATCATTAGTCATTCATCGATTAATTGCACGAACGCCCCACTTTACTTTTTTTAAAAATATATAATCTTCCATATTTTTTTTTCAGTACAAGAAAATGACTGTTGTCTTCCAGTAAGGTATGGACTATAAATATAAGTTCAATCAACCCAGGGATCTTACAGTAAAACTGGTTTTGAATTTAAGGAATCTAGGAATGCGATCGAAGATAACAAATCTCAGTAAGGAGGAAGCCACAAACAGTCAATGATATGTAAATGAATTCAAAGAGTATTAATTTGAATTTGTTAACATTAATAACCATCTTCACCAAGTGGAGATATGTTAAGTTTCTTAGGTCATACAAGGGAGTATATATATATATATATATATATATATATATATATATATATATATATATATATATATATATATATATATATATATATATATATATATATATATTCTTCTCAATGAATACAATTCTAAATATTGTCAAATTATATACACCAATACCATATAAGCTGATGGGGTTAAATTGACGTTAATGGTAATCTAAAGACCAAGTTTTATGATAAACGTGGTGACCTTAACTTTTCAATCGTCAACTTCCATTACTTATGCAGAAATATACCTTCATCACCTGCATATGGGGTTTATAACTCTCAGTTTATTCGATACGGAAGAGCATGCTCTACGTATGTACAATTTCTAAAACAAGGTAAATTATTGACAAACAAGTTGATGAAACAAGAATACTAGCAGTCTTGTTTAAAGTCATCATTTCGGAAGTTCTATAGTCGATACAATGACCTTGTCAGAAAAAACAATTTATCATTGATTCAAATGCTGTTTTTCATACTAATTGTTAGGCCATTATTTACACACTGAATTGTCGACGGATATTTCCGTTATTTCCCGATCATGACAAGGAGCACACGGCGGGTGTGACCGGTCAGCAGGAGATGCTCACTCCTCCATGGCACCTGATCCCACTTTTGATGTTTCGGAGGTCCGTGTTTGCTCTGCTCCTATTTTGTATTGTTTAATGGACTTTTTAGCTTGAAAATTGTTTGTTTTCTTCATATATTTCATTGAGCTTGGCCCTAGATATCTGTTCACAAATTTTACTTGTATTACTAATTACAAATATTACAAATACAAATTTAAATAGATACAATGACCTTGTCAGCAATACAATTTATCATTAAGTCAAATGTTGACTGACTTTTTCATACTTACTGTTAGGCCATTATTTACACACTGAATTGTCGACGGTTTTTTTCGTTATTTCCCGATCATGACAAGGAGCACACGGCGGGTGTGACCTGTTGGAAGGGGATGCTCATTCCTCCATGGCACATGATCCCACCTCTGATTTTCTTGAGGTCCGTGTTTACTCTGATTCAAAATTTCTATTGTTTAATGGACTTCTGAGCTTGAATACTGTTCGTTATTTCTATTCATTTCATTGTATTATAAAGATATTGAAAACAAAGCTTTCCTGGATATCAAGGCCACAAAAGGTCGTGTGTTCAAGAAAATGAAGGTTAAAATTTGTCTAGATAATGCCAGGTTTATATGTTACGGATCTCAAGGTAAACAAGGAGTGGACAAAAGAAATTCATAATATGCCCACACATAACTTGCGAAATACAGCTGACCGTTACGATCAACAACTTTCCCTGTTTTTATAACACTTATCAAGGTAAAATAACTAACCTGTATACTCACAAATTATCAATTAATGATTCTATTTAAGAGATTAAAAAAATCTGTGTTTTGTTTGCATTGTTACCAAAACATCGTTCTGATGATGACGTATTGCATTGCTTCTCAGCCAAGTGTATCTAACGGAGAAAGGATAGTGGTGGGGGTGAAGAGAGGAGTGCCATCTTGATTGACCCCAGAGTTCTTGTAAAACTTTCCGTCTTTTTATAGAATGCAACAAAACCCGGAAGCTTGTTTTAGCATAGAGGTAGTACAAACGCCACCGGATCCCTTTTTTCCACCAGACAAAACTTGCATGAACTTCGTCCGCCATGCTGGTGCTCCGACAATGGGATGCATGAACGGTCAGATGATATTCTTTCAAACTAAGTCAGTAACCAAACAGCTAATTCAAAAAGCATTCATAGATATCACGTTTTAAAGATGTAATACGTAGTCCTATTTCTCTTAGTCTGACGCTGAAAATGAGAAGAAAAACACCAGGAACTGGATTTTCATAATGTTTAAATACCTAGTTCTTCATCTCTTCTAATTATTATTTCATGGAGGTCTCTACAGTGTTTATTATATATTTGATAACTTACAAATTACAAGTAGTTATTAATGAGAAGATACTATAAGAATATGCCATTTGTAGGTGTTCGCGAGCAAATCAACCAGAGAACAGCTTTTGTGGACGGCTCAATGATTTACGGCTCTGAAGTCAGCTTAGAGCTTGAGCTAAGAGGGGGAGTATCAAGAGGTCATTAGATGTTTTAATAATATTTCTATCATCGATTTTATTCTGAATATATATATATATATATATATATATATATATATATATATATATATATATATATATATATATATATATATATATATATATATATATATATATTTAAAGTAAATTTAGCAGTTATCGTCTACTAACCACCTAACTTTGTTTCTAGAATTAGGGCGACTTGCTGTAAACGATCAGAATCTGCTCCCTCCCAATCCTCAGGGATGTCCTGTCTTGGCACCCCGAGCAATGCGACCATGCTTCATAGCAGGTAATTTAATTGCTCCCTGATTGCGATGTACTTGAATGGTGTTTTATGCATGAATATATTACATGTGACATTTTTGTCTGTTGATAGGAGATCATAGGCAAAGCGAGACACCTACTCTAACTGTTCCACATATCACGTGGTTAAGACGTCATAATCTCATTGCTGACGCATTAAGACAAGCCACTGGCATCACGGATGACGAGACTCTTTTTCAGGAAGCCAAAAGAATTGTTATAGCAGAGCTTCAACATGTTACATACAATGAATTTTTGCCTGCCGTTCTTGATAATTTACATATGAATTCTTTCAATCTAAGATCAAAACTAGCAGGACATGCTGATTCTTACAACCCTAAGGTTGATCCAAGAACAATAAATGCATTCGGTGTTGCAGCCTATCGTATGGGTCATAGTTTAGTCAGAAATACTGTAGGTCATGATTTAGGGAACGGAGATCGTTTTACATTTCCGGTGAGCGAACACTTCGAGCGTCCTGATTTGATGTATGAAAAGGGATATGAATTCATGGCTCGTTGGATGTCACGAGAACCCAAATCTAGGTCTGACAGATTCTTGGTAGACGGTATTAGAAATAGATTGTTTGAATTTCCACCAATGCCAGGAACGCCTCCATCAGAAACGTTGTCTATGGATTTGGGAGCCTTGAACATACAGAGAGGCCGTGATCACGGCATACCTCCCTATAACGCTTACAGAGAATTCTGTGGACTTCAAAGAGCGCGTTTCTTTGCTACTGCCCCAGGGGGACTGGTTGATCATACTCCACAAGCAGCAGCTGCACTGCAGCGAACCTATCGGTAAGTTTGTGGGGTTTTAAACCTAAAACCGAAATAACCGAAAGAGTGGAGGTTTATTTTGTTTTGTAGCACGTCATTTAAGAGTTGCTGCCTTAATGCATTAGAAATGTTTACTGTAAGATTCACGTGACAAGGTGAACCCATAACATGCAAAGACCCATATTATACATAACATAATACAAACATATACAAAACACATTTTACCCAATTTATAGTATCATGCTGCAAGCTTAAATGTACATCTGCCAATCTATATCAGGTGGATCTGAATAAAAACATGATAAAAATTGAACTCGAAATAAACTCAAAATAAAAAACATTACAGTCTGACACATCTGTTTCATATTTATAAACACTGATGGCAAACTAACAACTAAACACACTGCGAACGATAATATTAATATTGTTTTGCTCCAGGTCAATTTGAAAAGTCGTCATATTCCAATTTTTTAAAATTTATTCACCACAATGCCAATAAAAATTGTTATACAGCAAATTCATATCAAAACTTTTGATCGGGTTCAAAGTGGGGGTGGGGGGCTATGTTTACATATCAAAATACAGGGAAAATGTGTTCATTTAATCACCAGTTTCAAATAATATAGAACTACAGACATTTACTTAATAAATGAGACATAGTTAAATTTACATTATGAAACTGAAAGATAAGAAGGTCATTTATCAAGATACATGAGTTTTTGAAAATCCGGTGAATTTTTTAAAGCATGATTTTCATGAATTTTACACCCCCGTATTAGAAAGAATTGTAATTAAGAGGAATTAATTAAAGTGATGTTAGATTTATTAATCAATTACTTATGAACTGCATGTATACTTTACCTCCAAAACAAATTTAAAAACTAATTTTTCAAAACATTTGAATTATGGGTGAGTAAAATGTCGACAGGATTCTGGAGTAAGCGTTCGCAGTTCTTTATGTTAAACGTGATGAATTCAAGTTTTCCATCTATTGTGAACTTTCCTTATTTATGTAGCAATATACCATTATCACCTGTATATGAAGTTTATGCCTCCCAGTTGATTTGATACACAAGAGCTTTGTTGCAAATGCATGTACAATATCTCGTTAGGTCAAATGTTAACTAACGTCTTTCATATAAAAACGTTATTCATTTAAACTGTTAGGCCATTTAGAAAAAAAAAGTTATCATGGTATCATTATGGATCTTAGCACAAAACAACCCTCAAAACAATTGCTTTTTCCCAGTTGCACGGTATGCAACTAACGACGATACATAGATTATTTGATTGATGGTTTTACAGCCCTGAATAATAAGAATGCTTTCAAAAACTTACGACTTTTCTACTTTATACACAACCATTCCACATGATAAATTAAAATCCAGGCTTTTTGATATAATTGTCAGCTGCTTTTTCAATAAAAATGGAACTCGTAAATATACTTACCTTGTCATTGGTCATTTGCAAAATTATTTTGTTAAAAAACATTCTGATTGTACACACAAGTACTCTGAAGTTGACATTAAAAAGATGCTTGAGTTTCTGATTGACAATATCTATGTGGTTTTTGGAGACCAGGTCTTCCAACAATCTATTAGAATTCCCATTGATACCAATTGCCCCCCGTTTTTAGCAGATCTTTTTTGTATTCATATGAAGCAGAATTTGTCCAAAATCTTGTACGTGAAAAGAACAAAACACTTGCTGTGGCCTTCAACTCGACATTTAGATATATCGACGACGTATTGTCAATTAACAATGGCTATTTCCATTCTTATGTCGATACGATATATCCTGGTGAGCTTGAGATAAAATATACCACAGAGTCTGACACATCTGTTTCATATTTGGATATTTTACTTGAGAAAGACGTTAATGGTAATCTAACAACCAAGCTTTATGATAAACGTGATGACCTTAACTTTTCAATCGTCAACTTCCCTTACTTATGCAGCAATATACCTTCATCACCTGCATATGGGGTATATATCTATATCAGTTGATTCGATACGCAAGAGCATGCTATACGTATGTACAATCTTTAAAACGAGGTAAATTATTGACAAACAAGTTGATGAAACAAGAATATCAGCAGTCTCGTTTAAAGTCATCATTTCGTAAGTTCTATGGTCGATACAATGACCTTGTCAGCAAATACAATTTATCATGGAGTCAAATGCTGACTGACGTTTTCATACTAATTGTTAGGCCATTATTTACACACTGAATTGTCGACGGATATTTCCGTTATTTCCCGATCATGACAAGGAGCACACGGCGGGTGTGACCGGTCAGCAGGGGATGCTCACTCCTCCATGGCATCTGATCCCACCTCTGATGTTTAGAGGACCGTGTTTGCTCTGCTCCTATTTTGTATTGTTTAATGGACTTTGAGCTTGAATACTGTTCGTTATCTCCATATATTTCATTTCACCTCCTAGGCACCTGCTTCCATCTCTGGAATTTCCAGGGATCTGTATTTTATGTCCTCTTCACATATTTGTATTGTTTATGGATTTTTTGAAATCGATCACTATTCGTTATCCATACCTTTTACATACAAAAGTACTTTAAACTCATGTAGATCAGATTTTGATTGTCTCCGAATAGATTTGTTGATTAGTTAGCAGTTATCTTTCCTGCACTAAGAGGACTCGCATGTATTTTAAATTAATATTTTTTTTACCTTACATTCGTTTCTAGACACCCTGATGATATAGACCTCTTTGCTGGTGGTATGTCTGAGATTCCTCGACCAGGAAGCATTCTAGGGCCCACGTTCCAATGTCTCATCGCTCTTCAGTTCAGCTTCTACAAACATGGCGACCGTTTCTGGTACGAGCGCACTTCCCCCGAAAACCCAGTGGCTGCTTTTACATCTGGTAAACTAAAGCTTTTTAATGAAATAAATCATTTTTTGTATAACTACAGAAGTATTTTTAGTGGCATATAGTGTCATGAGTCACTTTTAAAACATAATTTATTTACAGCCCAACTTGCTCAAATCAAACAGATCACGTACTCAAAGATTCTCTGCTCTGTCGTAAAGAATATTGGCATTATTCCATCCTTCCAACCTAGATTAATGTTACGACCTAACATTCAAGGGTAATTCTCTCTCTCTCTCTCTCTCTCTCTCTCTCTCTCTCTCTCTCTCTCTCTCTCTGTGTGTGTGTGTGTGTGTGTATGATTCTATATCTGTTATTGATAGCTAACGTAATGCGAAAGTCGGTGATCCATTGAACTTTTTAAAGAATCTTAAGCCTTATTTTACAGTAATTCGCCAGTGCCATGCACATTGCTTTTGCAAGGAAGTCGCCTTGGATTCGACATTAGCCCATTTGCACAACAGCTGCTTCAATTAGGCGGTCGCCGACGCCGAGGGACATTAAACCTTAGGCAACTTAATCCAGGCATGCGACGAAAAACCATTTATTGAGATCAAAGGATAGTCGTATGAAAATAGACATAATGCGTGTGATTCCCGTAAATTATAGATCGTATACAAGAAGAGAAATAGAGGCAGTTCTGGATATACGAAAAACACTAAAATTTTCAACAGTTATAGTATGAATGTTGATGTGATGCTTGAACTATGTTCCTGGTTTACATTTAAAATTGTGTTATCTGTTGCAACAATAGTTCAAAATCCTCTCATTTTAGCCAAATGAATAGGACAGCAACGGCACACTAACATTGTACAGGAAAATTAGACTTGATAATTCGATTTTTCTTTAATCAATTTCTGGTGTGTTTCTTTTTCATTAACGCGTGTTGTTTTCCAAATTGTATCTTTTACCCCCCCCCTCCCCCACTGCCCAATAAATAAAACTTAAACATTGAAAGGATTTTAAGAATCAAGAAAACAGGTCGACAGTTTTTTCATGTATAGCTCCTAATTTAAAACTAGTGTTCCAGGAAACGCATGTGTCATCTCCTATAATGTCAATAAAGATATAAACAAACCAAAAAGTGGTCAGTTATTTATTTGCTTTCTAGTATTTTAGTTCATGCATTTGCCTTTAAAGAAAATATTCACGGATAATAACAGTGATAGGAAGGCATTTATCATAAAGTGTGACAATCAAATAGAAATAAGATTCCTTAACCTTTAAAGTTAGAATTAAAAAAGAAATTGAAATATAATCATAAAAAAATAATTTATGTACACTATTCATATGTGTTTAATTCAACAATCCCTCATATTCGTAACTAGAAAGAGATTTCGGTCAGTCTTTACTGCAGTCTACAACATACCCATCCCGATGTATTTTCATAGTATTTAAAGTTCAGTTTGTTTGGTAACTGTAAATATATATCACACAGTTCAAAAGTACAGTCTCATGAGATCATAAGCATATAATATATGATGACAGTCTAGCAAAAACCACCATTATGTACATTCTTACGTTTAGAAAACGAGCCCTAAAGTTGACGTCATAAATTTAAGCTGTTTTTGCATTCGTGAGGTGTGAATCCTGATTAAGAATAAGAATATTCTTTGTAAAAATACATGAAATTAAACTGACAAAAGAATTGATTGATTGTACTTAAAAAAAATATTAACGCTCTTTGCGAGGATCGAACCAATTTTTTTCTTTTCATTGCACTGGACGGGGGACGCATACTACTGAGCTCTTATTGCTACACAAACTAAATGATTTTTAAAACGACAATGACGTACCACAATTAAACACTGGAAAATTTTTTTTTTTCGGAAAAATTTTATTTTGCATCGTCTCTGGGTCTTCTCTCCATTTTTTTTTTTTTTTTACAAATGTTTGTTAGTTGCTTTGAATGAAAATACACACAAATAATGTTTCAGAATCACAAAGAGATGACCCAAACATAGCATTTCTTTTTAGAAAAACGTGTTTAAAAATGTGATATATTGTACCAAATGACTCATCTAACCAATTATATTCTGGCAAATTAAAATATACGGGGAAATATTTCACTTTCCTACATCACGGGTACCCGATACATGAATGAACACTAAACTTTCATGTGACAGATCAATGAAATTTTCACTTTTCAAGTGCATCCTGATTCCTGCCGAATGCTAGTCAAAAGCACCTCGTTCTTGGCTTGAACACAGTTTGTAACGATTACTGTTTGCTAAATCGTTCTCAAGTACATGTCTTATCATCATGTCCTCTCGATATAAAAATTATATAATTCTTATTTTCTAGATAACTTATTCTGTGTCCATGACAAAACCAAATCAGTTAAGAAAAACTTACATCATACATGTACATGTACTAACAAACAAATTATAAACGATGAAATGAAAGTTTAAGCTATATGTTTCCATGATTCCAGTGTGTTTTGGCAATTTAAGTGAACTTTAATTGTGCAATTCAAGATAACAAATATCCTAAATAATTGTATGTCAGGTATCTTTAATAATAATAATGCAAACGTCCTTATGAGTTTGAATAAGAAAAATGCATAATTTTTTTCAAAGTGATCGGCCACAATCATGCAGCAGAACTTCAAGAGGAAATTGTCTTGATTTGACATTACATCGTCTGTACCGCAGCTTTTGCGTTTGAGAGACGCGTAGCTTTACAGGATTCTATTCCAATGTATCCAAGCACAAAAAAAAATTAATTCGATTCTTGCCTTCCTGTCCCTAATCAATCCTGAAAGGTTCTTCCCGATTTGGAGAGGAATAGCATTTAGTCGACCCAGAAGAACTTTATAATTTCATAGTAAGAAAAGATTGTTGACTTGTTTGTTCCAGTCATTAATGGTAATCATACTCAAAATCCAAATAAACAATTCTAATTGTGAGCAGAGCAAACACGGACCTGTTTATATAGAGGTGGGATCAGGTGCCATGGAGGAATTAATATCCCTAGTCGATCAGTCACATCCTCCGTGCGTAATCGAGTAAAAGGAATAATACGTAGACAATTCGCAGTGAAAATAATAATCTAGCAATTCTATAAAGGACATCAATCAATATTCGACTTAACAATAATTTGTATTTGTAAACAAGGTTATTGTATCCACCATAAAATTTGCGAAATGTTGACTTTAAAGAGATTGCTGATATTCTTGTATTATCACCTTCTCTGTCAGTAGCCTGCCTTTTTATAGAGGTTAATGGTACGTAGAACACGCTCTTCCGTATCGAATATCTGGGAGACACAAACTCCATAGTGAAATTGATATATTCCAAAATAAATAAGGGAAGTTGACGATAAAAAAAAAGTTGAAGTCATCGCTTTTATAACAAAATTTTGTTGATTGTTTGCCACCACTTTCTTTCCTAGAAAAAACATATATATTTGAAACAGATTTTTTAGACTCAGTGGTTCTTTTATTTCGAGTTAATTGGGATATATTGAATTAATTTTGTAGGAATGAATATTGTTTATTGATAAAATGTCGTCGATGTATCTAATTGTTGAGTTGAAGACCAGTGTAAAATTCTTCTTTTCATGTAGACATTGCTTCATAAGAATACAAAACAGGTCTGCAAATGTCAGGGCAAAAGAAGAACCCATGGGAATTCCAATAAATTGTTGGAAGAACCTGTCTCCAAAAAATTACATAGATACTGTCTATGAGAAACTCGAACACCTTTTTAAATATCAACCTTAGAGTACTTTTATGTGAAATTAGAATGTTAATAAGAAAGAAAAGTTTGTAGATGACCAGTGACAAAGTATGCAAATTTACGCGTTCCATTTTTATTGAAGATTCAGTTATCTATGACGTCAAAAAGACTATTCTTAAATTTATCGTTTGAAATGGTGTAAAAAGTATTGAGATGTGATACATTTTGATGCTACAAAAAAGCCTTTGAATCCAGTAGTTAAAGGTGCTTGGACACAGATTTGAAGTTAATATTTTTTCAAATTTTCTTTATTATTTCATGACTTATATGTTGCATTTCATACTAAAATATAACAAAAATCTTATTTTATCTCGAAGTTATTGAAACTTCGAATTTCTGGACGCGTTTGATTGACACATCCTTGCACTTTCACAAATTTAAATTTTATTCTTAATACTTAAGAAAAGTGGCAATTTTGTTGCGAATTTATGAAAAATATTAAAACTATAATCCAGAAAATTCAGAGTAGAAATGTGAGAAAGCAAAACCCTTTCACAGTATTGTCAGTCTGTGCTCAGTGGTGTGTGCAGAGTTTAACAAATAGAACACACCCGGTAAATCGTAAATATTAACAGTAACAGAATTCGTGCCCTGTTTGGAAAAACAGTTTACATTTCACGGATGTGTTCAATGTTGTAAACTCTGTACACATCACTGAGCACGGGCTGACAATACTAGTGATTGGGTTTTGCTTTCTCACATTTCTACATTTATTTTCTGGATAATAGATGTAATATCTTTCATTAATACACAACAAAATTGCTTCTTTTCTTAAATATTAAGGATAAAATTAAAATTTGTGAAAGTGCAAGGGTGTGTTAATCAAACGTATCCTGGAATTCGTAGTTTCAATAATTTCCAGATAAAATAAGTTTTTTAATTATATTTTCGTGTGAAATGCTATTGCAATATATAAGTCGTGATATAATGCAGAAACTTTGAGAAAATAAGTAACAAAAGAAATACATCAAAACTATGCACATATGTGTGTATTATGGTAAACAGATTCAATGAAATATATGGAGATAACGAGCAGTATTCAAGCTCAAAAGTCCATTAATCAATACAAAATAGGAGCAGAGCAAACACGGACCTCCAAACATCAGAGGTGGGATCAGGTGCCATGGAGGAGTGAGCATCCCCTGCCGACCGGTCACACCCGCCAAAATAATATAATAATGTACAAAATATAAAAATAAAAAAACTGTATCATCAGATTTTGGTTTTCCTAGAAAAATATGTTTATTCAGACCTTAATACCATCTGACACTTCGATTTAAATTATGTGAAATGTCACAGAAGCTGAGATTCGTTTGAAATCCTGAACAAACGTGGCAAAATATAGAAGGAACACAATACAAGTCAACCACTCACTGATAGCCGCTGTCATGTGTGCTTGATATCCCTAAAAATAATCAAATATGGAGATAACGAAAAGTAATCAAGCTCAGAAAACCATATAAAAAATACAAATCAGGAGCAGAGCAAACACGGACCTGAATAACATCAGAGGTGGGATCAGGTGACAAGAAGGACTAAACATCCCCTGCTGACCGATCACACTCGCCTCATATATAACCATGAAAACGGAAAAATACGTAATTCAATGTATAAATAAGGTCGTTGTATCGACCATAGAACTTGCGAAATGATGGCTTTTAACGATACTGTTGATATTCTTGTGTCATCAACTTGTATGTCAATAGCTTGCCTCGTTTAAGGATATTGTTCGTGCGTAGAATATAAATACTTGCTACATGTAATCTACATGTTTTTTTTATCATTCATTTAAAGCCTATACTAAATCAGTACAAAATTACATCATTTTAGACCACCCCGGATGAGAGAGCACTGGCAAACAGTAACATAAAAATGTAATCAATTTTGATCCAAATTGGTGTATTTGTTTGCGGTTCACTGATGTATGTGTTAAAATATAATTTTTAACTCATTCTTCTTTGATGTTTTCAGAGATCCGTAATTGGGCAAAAATTCTATTTATTATCTTTACATTTCACTTAAAATATTAATTATAATTGAATGAATGAACTTTAAATTTCAAATTTATTTTCAATGTAAAAGGCAAAGATAACGAACAGTGATCGATCTCAAAAACTCCATCAACAATACAAATATGTAAAGAGGGGATAAAACACGGACCCCTGGAAATTCCAGAGGTGGGGTCAGGTGCCTAGGAGGAGTAAGCATCCCCTTTTGACCTGTCACACCTGCCGTGAACCCCATGTTTTGATCAGGTAGACGGAACCGTCCGTAGTCAATTCAGTACAAAAACAAAGGCCTAACTTTTGGTATGAAATAAGTCAGCCAAAATACGACCCAATGATAGTTTATATTTGCTAATAAGGTCATTATAACGACCAAAAAACATTACGAAATGCTGACGTTAAACGAAGTTGTTGAAATCCCTCTAACATTAACTTATCAGTGAGTATCCTGCCTCACTTTAAAACTTGATCGTACTCAGAGCAAGGCTCTTGAGTAGCGAATAAATTGGGAGACATAAACACTATAAGCTGGAGATAGTGGAATATTACTACTTAAATAAGGAAAGTTGACGATGGGAAAACTAAAGTCATTTCGTTTGTCAAACAATTTAATTGTTAATTAGCCTTTATCGTCTATAGTCAGTAAAACATCCAAGTATGAAACAGATTTGGCAGACTCTGTGGTGTCTTTTATTTCAATGTACTTTCAATAATTTTGCTTTGAAGAAAAAAAATGTTTCCCAAACGTAAAAAGAAATCTTGACAATGTCTTGGTAGTTATTTTCTGAAAGAAAAAATAAAGTAATAATATTGAACTAAGGTATCTATGCGGAAATTTAAACATTTTTTTTACCTTTTCAGTAGACTTCTAATGTAAAGGATCAGTAGCGGATGAACGCTGAGCTTTGGCAACCAGAGTGTCAATTAAAACTTTTTAATTTTGTTAAAGAAGCTGAAATACTGTAAAATAATTTATGCCTCCTCTTTCCCTACCTACACATCAAAATTAGACAAACTTACATGTGTGTTGAAAAAATGTTTATTGATCAAAATATGATAATATTCTGATCAAATCAAATAGTAAACTCGTACAAACTTTTAAAATACAGTTCCAGTATAACAAAATGGATTTCACAATGTAAATATGCAAATTACAGTTTCATCATACAAAATGGATGGTACAGTGTAAATTTGCAAGTGAAGTTACAGTATTGCAAAGGAGGGATTTGTCAATGTAAAGAAACAATTGTAATCAGCGAACATATCACACATAAAATACAAGAAGTAGAATAATACTAAAATTACATGAAAAGAAACATATGCTCGATATCCACAGACTGCATCACATAATGAATATCTATAAAGCATGTATCAAAAAACTATAGGATAAGTGTATTTACACAAAAATCGACTGGTGGCAGCAGGTGGGGTAAATAGCCCCCCTAACGATTGACTAGGGCCTATAAAAAACAAGACATGTAAACCAAAATGACTAGAGACTATAAAATATAAAATAAAAACTGAAAACAGAATACTGTGAAAGGGAGGTGGGAGGGAAATTCAACTCAATACAGACTGTACTTCTTGGTAAATTGATGCCACAAAGGGGACGCTATCTTTCAACCAATCAAATTGCACCAAAAGTGGTTTCATAACTGAGGGGCTCCCCATAGGGAAAAATTACATGAGGTCCAATAAAGGTTCAGTATTTCATGAAATAAACATAAAATAATTTAAATATTTACATGTATTTCTTTGTTGAGGTGAATTTATTTAGCGATTTCTTCCCTTTTTGATGCAATATTTACCTTCAGTGTAATTTTCTATACGAAATTCATTGGAAAATCTACAACCTCCAAACCCGTATAAAACACACAAACCTTGACAGGGCGTGGTATAATACACAATAGGAACTACATACAATTTCATCATACTAGAAACACCAAAATGTACATTCTTTTGGCTCAATTTTATTTAAACAATTACCCTTTTACATTGTTATAAAAATATAATCATTCTATGTTTAAATTTAATTTACAATTTAAAAGATTAATGAAATGAACATTTATGAAAAGAAAAAGTCAGTGAATGAAATTCACGGTATTTAATTTGTCGGTACGGCCTTGTGCTGTTTTTCGACCGACATCTAATGATTAAAACAATTGCTTCCCTAAAAACATTTTATGTCATTTTTTACATAAATTAGATTAAATTTACTTTTTGAAATTCCTGGACATGTTTGATATTGCAAAAAAAAAGTCAGCTTTATCTGCAGTTTATTCTACTATATTGCATTTTTAAGTTTTAGGTAATAAGAGATCTGTCATGGTTTCTGGTTGAATAAGAGTTGTGTGTTTTCTATCCCCGAGCCTTCTCGAGGAGACAACATACACATGAGTTTGAGGAAAATCATATCCAATGCAAATGCAAAATTCCTTTTATCACTTGTTACATATGGCTATAGCATATTCACACAGTTTTAATTTATACAATGTACATCTGTGTATGAATGCACTTTATTTCTCTTCATAACTTTCACATAAAAAAACATTGCAAAGTCACAAATGTTTATATAAAAACGATATAATATGACTGAAATCTACTATATAAAGGAGTAAACAGGTGATAGAATAAGGTATCTTCTCACTTAACGAGGTTGGATCCTGATATTTAAAGTCTTAAACTTATTTTGTCAAGTATAATTTTAGTTTCTACACACATAGCTTACTTAAAAATCAGAACAAAAATGGGGGTCAATATGCTTCTTTTGACGCTACAGTACATTTAATATGACCTTTTTGCACTTAAATCTGTGTCTTAATCAAAAATCACATCTTCGACGTTTTCCCTTCAATGTTTTTATCCTAATAAATCATGGGACAAAATAAACAATTAGTCTATTTAAAAAAAAAGACACATTAAAATTGTGACTAAGAAAAAGTTTCAAATTGCTTCGCATAATCAATTATTTGACCTTTCTGCACTCACAAAATGTGATTTTTCTGGCATTTAAAATTTAACAAGCAAGAAAATTATATTAAAGTCTTAAACTTTTGCTGAATTTAAGCAGATTGATCAACGTTATCTTATATATTCAGAAAACATAAACAAGATTGGGGGTCTATGATGTAAATTTTTAGATATTAATAAAAAAGTGTTAATTTATATTAAAATTGACCCAATTTTTTCCTGGACTTTCAGATTATATTTACTATATTTGTCACAATACAATAAAAGAATTCATAAGAAATAATTTAATAGATATTTCAGAACCAGCATTAAACATATCACTGCAAAAACAGCTCAGTGTGACACCAGCATGGAAAAATAGGAATCTAAACTTAACAGTACTGTATATATTTCAAAAGGGAAAAATTGATCATTTTCTTCTAAAAACCTTCCGCCACAAAATATAGTTCCTGGCTTAATCCTATTTGAATGGAATTTAATCGCGTTTTTTTTCATTGGATATAGTTAATTTGCATTCTGGAATCCAGATTTAATGTTAAAACTTAAAAGTGATGCAGAGGTCCAGATCAAAATCTGCTCAAAAGCTCAGGATCGAACCTCTTTAAGTGATTTTCTGAGGATATATTAAGTTGACCCCCCCCCCCCCCGTGCATATGCAATAATAAAATGTATTTATCAACAAAATCATATTGGTAATCGTGTTCAAAAAGAATCGTTAACCATTTCAAAGGATACATGAAGCCGCTGTGATTGTACACGATATGGACATTGCCAGCCGGACTCTACTTAGGGTCACGGTGTCGGACATTTTGCACGATATGAAAGTTTGTAGATACATGTACAAGATACCAAAACCAATCTTCATCGCTACCCCAGTCATGTGTACGCCCTCTAAGTTCGTTTCCTTTTAAATGGCATAGAGATACATTAGCCATAATTCACTTTTGCATCCTAAAAATCTCTTTCAACGTATTCGAATGCAAGCATTGTGAAAAAAGATTGATATGTATGATCCAATTTTTTAGAAAAAAAACACATAGAATAAAACTAAGTGCAATTATTGCGTTCAGAGTAATTAAGATGTAACCTGAAAATTTGCCACAAGTCCGAGGCCCAGAGATGAGAACCAGCCGAACATTAGTCGTAGAATGTTATATCACCGGAGCGATCTCTCTTCGTTTGACACCATACGGATCCAAAGATATCTGATGTACATTGTGCAAAACGCTGAAACAGTATTTTAATTGTCACAATATTTGATAGTAGGAAACAGATAGGAAACAGATAAAGTAATTTTAATGTTTGATAGCAATTTTTGACTTTTTGAAATTACTATGAATTTTTTTGGAATTAAAAAAAATTAAAATAGAGATTATTGGGGTAATTATGCAAGGGTATGAAATGTATGAAAATTCATGAATATTTTAAACATATAAATTCAGAGAAAAAGTTATTTTGTTACCGTACCGGATAGGGCGGAGATATTCAGGAAAAAACTGAATAAGCAACTTTCAGATGGTGTCGTTCCCGTGTCACTATGAAAGAAAATACCGATTAATGTAATACCGGTATCTATAACTAAAAGGACAATAAATTAATGTGAAGACATCTTACTTCTTATCGACAAAAATTTAGTAAGGGACATAACATAAATTTCAGGTAATGTAAGTCATTAATAAAAATTGTTTTCATTGCTTAAGATTGGATCAAAAGTCAATTTACGAAGAATGAAAAGTTGCTTTTTATATCCATTTTAACACCGGGGAATTAAATACATGAGAAAAATCCATACCCATGTCATTTATTTTGTTATCTATAATAAGTTATCATGGCACCTTGTTTTTTTTTTTAAAAAAAAAAAAAAAAAAAAAAAAAAAAAAAAAAAAAAAGAATTACAAGTACATTCATGCTGCGGAATAGTTCGTACCAAATCCACATAGAGATGTGCTATATGATAAATCATTAGAACACAAAATCATTTCCTGAATTAAAAAAAATTCCAAAAATACAAGTTGATAGTTATTGATCGGTTCACTGGTTTGTATTTCCATCTAAGCATTATGTAATGCACTTAATCTTTACCTATCATGGAGAAGGTTATTCTCTCAAAAAGCTATGAAATAATTTTCAATTGAAGCCGATAAAGTATACGAAACACTGCTTGAAGGTTGTATACTTTAAATCGAATTTGAAAACAGTTTCCTTCCTGTTACAATTGCAATTTTCTTTTTTTGTATTTTTTATTGTAAAGGAGCAATTTTTAGCACAGAAATGTCACTATCCGAACCAACCTTTGTACAAAGTATACTCATTTTTTAAAAACAATATTTGCAATTTATCAGTTTTGTGATAACTTGTCATACTTTTCTCCATGTAAAGATAATATCTATGTTAAAGGAAATAAAACTTAAGTTTGCTTTCTTTATTTAAACGCACAACTAGGTATAATTTGAAGCAAAATGATTAATGAAAATGAAACACTGTTAAAAACTGAAAACTGATTAAATCACAAAAAATAAGCGCCTTCTTGACTGAATAAATCTCCCATCAATCTCAAGATCATGCAGTAAATTATTTAAGATATATGACAGTTCTTTAAAATTTAGTTTCTCTGTCACTGTATTTTCTAAATCACAACCGTTCCAATGAAAAACCGACAATTTGAAAGCGTTTCTGGCTATAAAAGGAGAGTTTCAGGAAAGTTTGAGAATTGTAACAATTTAAGTTTACAGTAGAATTTAGATGAAAAGTTTCAGACCATATACACAATTTTTTCTGCAAGTTTCAGATCGTAAAATATTCAAACTACCCACTGTTTTTCAATAAAAGTTTATAGTCCCACAAGTTGATTTTTTACCTTTGCTTACACCCCCTCCCCAATTATTCATTTATTTTCATTTTATCATATTACTTTTGTTCACGTCGTTCGCGTCGTAGTTATACACAGTGTTAGACGGAAGAATCTCACATTGCTGTTTCACTCTGGACAAGTCTGTCTAACACTGGTGATAATGCTAGAAATTATTATATTGCATAACACAAGTCAAGTGGTATGGTATTACGTTTCTTTGCATAGAGGATAAGTCAAAACAAACGTTATAAATATAAAAAATTTAAAAATATATATATTTAAGAAATTATGTATCATTTTTAAACATCTATCGGGCTATAAATACGGGTTGGTCATGAGATCAAATTCCATAAAACCCGAAGGACTTTATGGTAAATTTGATTTCGTACCAACCCGTATTTATAGCCCGATAGATGTTTGAAAATGATACATTATTACTTATATTTACATGTATGACTTATTCATATTTTATGTTTTCCTGATTATAATCTTTAACGCGTGAAATGTTTTATTTTTCAAACTCAACGGCACGTATTTGATCCATTGATTGCCCTTCGACCCTTTATGAGAAATTACAACGAACGTTTATGACGCGAGGAACCCGTGTTTATACGGATATAGATACGCGTTGCTTTTAATAGTGTTATATAAAAGAAAACATTTGCAAATGTAAATATTTTTATATAAATATAAAAATAGGACACTCAGAGAATGATCAGTTTATAACAGTTTTCACGTCTTAACTTAAAAGTGAAATCCTAAATGTAAAAAAATTAGAAATATTTTGAACACTTAAGAGTTGCAAAGATTTAATTACAGAGCCCCCATCCCCCTCCGAAAATCGTTTTTGTATTTATCTCCTAGTTTTTCTAAATAGGACAGATCAAAAATTAAATCTATCTTTTATGCTAACTTTACAGAGTTAAAGAAACAATATTTTAAAGGCATCCACTTCACACACTGCACTTTTTCTTCTTACGTTTTTTTTTCATAAGGCGTGACAAGCAATACTATTTGGTTTGATGATCCATAATATCAATAATGTTTTATTAAAAATACATTTTAATAAACAATTTCAGTCATTCAATTTTATATGAAATTATCCTTAAATCTTTGACAATAAGAAAATATTTACTACAAAACATTTTTTTTCTTCAAACTTAATACATTTGTACATCCAAGGTCATTTCCAAAAAAAAAATATTTTGATACTATGTGAACTCTTTAATATCACTTTGCTGTGACTTTCCCAGTCTTCACATCCGAAAATCATCTTTGCAATTAAAAAAAATGTGTCAAAAAGAGAAGATAATATTGAGACAAATTTGATTGATTTTTCGATTTCCAAGAAAACATTACTTATCGATCTATCTTACATAATCAGCGCTGTTTTGCGTAGCATTGAATTTCCTCTTTGATTCAAGAGTACAACGATTGATTAAATTTGGTTTACCACATGTTTTGTTCACTTCTTCATTTTTTTTTTTCATCATTTTAAAAACAACAATTTTTGTTTTGGATATATATACAGAGACTTACCATTTTGAGGAAAAGTCTTTGGCATTTTCTGCAGAAACAAATATTTTATCAATTAAGCTTATGTCATTCACAATCTGTTTTAGATATAATTCTACATGTTATAATAAGAAATATCAAAATTTACAATTGAAAGTCGTCTTACCACTTTGGTTCAACACGAATTCGTTTTTGGTCAGCATCTCAAACCAAATCATCTACACTTTATACATCATTGTTTTGATTTAAGGACCCTCTATACACTGATGAAAAATGTTTTTTGGACTACGAGAAAAGTATATAGCGTAAAGGAGGATGTTTTGAAATTAACTATTTCATTTTTAATATAGGGAGCATGCCTTTTTTATCCAGGAAAAATCTTCAAAGATAATGAAGTAGTTATGAATAAAATTCGCTTTTGCTTACTCAAATGGAGAAAATACATGCAAATAAAGTTTTCAACTACTCTATCTTGGTCTAATACGATGTTTAGAACACTTCAATTTAATTTAAATTATGTCATACAGTGCAGGTTAAAATTTATTCTATTTCTATATCAAATGATGGGTCAGTCTAACTACACAAAAGTACCCTGAAATTAGGGTGGAGTGAAGATAGGGTCCTTAATTGACTACCTTCATTGCTATAACAGACCCCTAAAAATTGAATTTGATAGTTTAAAATTGAGAGTTTGATATCTCATCTACCTCATTCTGATGCAGTGGATAATCTGTTTTCCCCATTTCTACCACAAGCAAATAATACATCTGACCCTAGTTCATGTACTTCAAACGGCCCGCATAATATCATATCCTTGCTCAAGTCTCTCCCTAAGAAACCAAACCCAATTATTTGGGCTTCCTTGCCTCACAGGTTCTGAAATTCTGTGCATTAAATCTAAGGGTAAGGTAGTTTCTCTACCTAACAAAATTTAGTATAAACTGTATAGACCTGTTCGGCAGACCCATATGCCATCATAACTATAGGGATATGTTCATCATATTTTTGAAATCGATATAACGATTTGTCTAAAAAGTATAAAATAGAAGAGTCTCACGTAACAGACTTGGATATTCATGAGTATTTTATTGGATTTAAAACAATTCCACTTCTTACTGTATGAAGCTTTTCCAGTAAAAGTGGATCAAGACCTATTCTTGTACCCGTTTTTAAAAATGGAAATGATGCATCAATCAGCTAAATAATAATAGGACGACAAGTGTTAGTTGATTTTGCCTTACTATTGTATTAAAGCAATGGACCATTGTTGATAAGGTCAAATGATCCACAGTATGGATTTCAACTTTAAAGAGGAACAACTGTGTTTGTACATTGATCAAACGATCATTAAAAAAAAGAAAAATAGGCTTTATTTGTTGTTTATAGATTACACAAAGACGTTTCATATTGTAAAGTGTCATATCATACTTTTTTTTAAATAATAGTGGAAAGGAAACTTCAAACAATCGAATATCATTTTCTGTTATTTTGAAACTTTTTTAGGTTAAATCTTAATTATTTTTTATTAAGAAATAGGCGGGGCAGAATATATAAAATAATTTTTAAGTTTGATAAAAATCATTCTGTAGGTATTTATACAACACCTTTATGCGAATTAAAGTATCAAACCCTGTTTTTCATTGCAATTAAAATTTGAATTGACAAATTATGATTGTGTGAAGACAAATTTATTCATGAGATGTAAGTTGCATTCGGATTGGTCAATCAATAAAGTTCTCATACGATTAAAAGGCCTAATTTGATTCTTTAATCTTTTAAAACACATTTGACAAGGATGCAGGAAATGTATGTAATAATAATTTGTGCCTCTTTCCTTTACAATGCTGCTGCTCAGGTAACCATGGATTCTATTGTGAACAATGCTATTCAGAGTGCGTTCGGTGGTGGTGGTGGAAGAACACCCATTGCAGCTCTTCTCGGAGGTCAGGGAGGGATCGCTCCCGTCTCTGGGAGTATAGGACAAATTTCAGCAAGTTAGTGTTCAATATCTTGAAAATTATTAAGTGGTCCTTATATTTTTAACAATTGAAATTTACAATATCATATATATATATATATATATATATATATATATATATATATATATATATATATATATATATATATATATATATATATATATATATATATATATATATATATATATATATATATATATATATTAAGCACTAAAAATGACCAACGACACGAACAATAATAATTGTCAAATTTTCGGGACGACCTGTCCCTTCCTCAGGTCAAAGAAAAAAGTTAAAAAGTCATAAAAACAAAGGAAAAAGAGAAACAAAAAAAACTAGCACTACTACTAAACTACCAAACACTAAATATTTACAGTATTACATGTTTAATTTGAAGTTTATAAACAGTTGTGAACAAAGAAATCCGGAGCGCTATGAATTGCGTCCGGTCTATCGGGTGTACTCTGGGTAAGTGCGACTTACATAATTGAACGAATTAATTATCGCTAATTAATTAAGACCAAGCAGTAAATCGTACATTGTCTTATTCTCTCAAAATAGCGTAACTATACATGAAAAAAGAAATTAAAGATAATAGGAAAGGGCAATTTTAAAATATCAATTTGGATATATTATAAATTTGGAAATCTGATAAAAGAAATAAACAAAAATGTAAGCTGTAAATATTTGGGTAGGTTGTTCCAGAATTGCTAATGCGAATAGACCGGACGCAATTCACAGCGCTCCGGATTTCTTTGTTCACAACTGTTTATAAACTTCAAATTAAACATGTAATAAAGTAAATAATTAGTGTTTGGTAGTTTAGTTGTAGTGCTAGTTGTTTTTGTTTCTCTATTTCCTTTGTTTTTATGACTTCTTAACTTTTTTCTTTGTCCTGAGGAAGGGACAGGTCGTTCCGAAAATTTGACAATTATTATTGTTCGTGTCGTTGGTAATTTTTAGTGCTTTATATATATTTCCATCCGTGACCTTGTATCTACTTAGTAGATCCGACACTTAGGATATACAGTGTTGTTGGTTTTTATAGTGCTTTATATATATATATATATATATATATATATATATATTAGGGATGTCAACGAGTACCCGGTTAACCGGGTACTCGATCGAACGTCCGAGTATCGAATACTAAAAATGGTACTCGGTTACTCGGATGTATATTTTTTCTTATTTCAAAGTACATATTTTTTTCAAAAACTTATCAAAAATTAACTTAAAGATGCCTACGGTAATTAGCGTGTCGTCATCTACACCCGTAAAAGGTGTGTTCCCGTTTTGCACCAATTCGATAATTAGGTATGGAACAATAGGTGTGAAATATGTTTTGATAGCAATTATAGTCTGATCTCCGTTTGGCAAACCCCCGTAAAACACCCGTTATCGCCTGCGTATATACAGTAATAAGTGACCGATCATTTCGTACACAGCTGTTCTCACGTATTGTGGTCCTTAATTTTTGGATGGCTTCAATGATTGTTTTCAGTGAACATCACTTATGTATGGTCTATGATATTATCTTTAAATCATTTTAAAATTATTTAGTTAATATACGGCAGCGAAATAGGACATGCATAAAATGCCGCTACCCACTTCAAAAGTGAAGAAATATTTAGAAATAAGTAAAGAATAAGAAAATGTTGAGTCAGTTTGCGTCGTATATTTAGTGTATACGGGGGAAACAAAAACATATGAAATATTATTAAACGATCCCAACAAATTCTGTTCCTTCTCTTTCGCTAGTCTGATCATCAAACCTGCGCAACAGATTGTCCTCATTTTGCATTGATCACATACTAGTAGACCCTAAACAAAAACTGTAAACCATTTGTAATTTTTGGTGTATTAATTTTGTCTTTTGTGTTTATTTGATAAATAAATTTATTAGCAAAAATCATTTCCGTTGGACTCATTGGACTTGGATACATTAATAAACATGATAAAAACAGCTTTGGGGTTTATCAGAGCTAAACGGGGCTCAAGAACACACTTTTTATTTCATTTTTACCGAGTACCCGGGTACTCGATCGGAAAAACGCCCGAGTAACCGATTATTAAATATTGACCGATTTGACATCCCTAATATATATATATATATATATATATATATATATATATATATATATATATATATATATATATATATATATATATATATATATATATATATATATATATATATATATATATATGTGTGTGTGTGTGTGTGTGTGTGTGTGTGTGTGTGTGTGTGTGTGTGTGTGTGTGTGTGTGTGTGACAGGAACAGTAAATACTGTCAAATATTTATATTTTATATTTACGATATATTTATATTTACGATGAAAAAGTCATAAAAAGCTAAAGAATTGGAAATTAAAAAAAGAAACACAAAATTTTTAACCTTTATACCTAAATTATGTTTATTTATACCTGTCAGCTTTTCGTCTATGATATCCCCCTTCTACCAAAATTGAAAAGATCTATTTCAAATTGTAAATAAACTGCATTGAAAACGTGGATAATCTGTAATTGGGATGAAGCTCGGAGGATTCATATAAACGATTACATTTAAATGACCAGCTCTTTCTTATGTAATGCCATTCTATATATTTTCAAATATATACACGGCTTTGACACTATATGTTATTAACTTGCAATTATAATTTAATATTTTTAGGGTAACTTAACGTTCATCTGTGTCCCTATAAACATCTGACACCTATATGAAAGTCAGTGTTTTTTTTTCAAAACAAAAGCTACTACTTCAAATTAAAATTTACTTCCTGCTGCTTTAAAAAATTCACTAACGAATACTAAACTATAATTGAATATCGCTGATATAAATAGATGTCATCGTTCAATTATCAATTATCAATATATGGACTTTTAAAAGACTAAAATCTACAAAATTAAAACACTTACCTGTACATTTATACCTCTGTAGGACGAACAGTAAGCAGAGGCGTAGCATCTTTACCGACTCCAGGCTCCATGTCAGGCTCTGGGGCCTACCGGGCCTTAGCCAGGTTTTCTCGGAGCGACTCGCCAGCTTATATTGCAATGCTTCATGACCGTTCGATGAGGGCGTCTCTTGCATCAAGAATGATAGCACAAGAGTTCGTATCAATATTTCTAGAAGTAAATAAGTGTAAAAAATGCTCTTATTAATAATTCTTAGTAACAGAGAGGATATTATATCATTGAAGATGCAATGTCAACAAAAGCATTTGTAAAGCAATTTCTATATTTCTCTTTTATTCGTCAATTTGTAGCCCGGCAGTTGGAGGACCTACAGGAGATGGCTTTCAGAGAGTAGTCTCAGATCCCCAGATTACATCAAGCTTTCAAAGAGCATTCATTCCATACTGTTATCAGATGCCAGCTTGTAATGTTAGTGAACCCTATCGACGAACAAACGGACAATGTAACAATTTGATTAACCCCCTCCTGGGATCTTCAAATACGCCACAACAACGAGTTTTACCTGCTGCCTACGAGAACTGTAAGAACTATAATTGTCTTTTCTGGAAACATTTTACGTCCATTTCTTATCAAACGCTAGGTTCAAAACAAATTGCAAATGGGAAAAATGCCAGATTTTACTTTTTTGTTTGTTTGTTTGTTTGTTTCTTTCTTTTTTTTTTTTTTTTTTTTTTTTTTTTTTTTTTTTTTTTTGCTTACATGAATAACACCACCTTTTCCCGAGAATAATTGCTGAATTGCTATTTTAATAATTTGACAATGAATTATCTTATAATTATTCAGGGATTGATACTCCAAGAACTCGTTCCCTGGTTGGGAATATGCCCTTGCCAAGTGCTCGAACAGTTAGTAACAACGTGTTCCAGTTCATTGGAGGAGGCATGACCCCTGTCAGCGCCGCATTCTCTACCTACCTCACCCACCACGGACAGTTCATTAATCATGACGTCATTTCCACCCCATCTGTAGAGTGTAAGTAATTTTGTCATTACTTAAGCTGCACAGTGTTTTTGTTTTAATTTTAGAAATGATTAATTAGTTGGGATGTCAATTTTGTCAATTATTCATCTTCGAATATTCAATGAAAGTATTCGAATATATTCAAATATTCGATAAAATAAATAAAATTTGGATTATTTCAAATGTATCATCTCATGGCAGGTTTTACGTCTGTATTTGGAAGTAAAATTGGACGAAGACTTTTGTAGGCATACAATAAGGAATTCTATATTTGATATTTGTCAATGTCTATACTAAATATACTTTTAACAATTGATATCTATATGGGCTAAAACCAGTCGTCTAATCAGGGGAAAGATTGTCGTTTACTCTTCAGATTTAAATAAACGTAGTTTATTATAATTATCTGCTTGATAAGATATATTATATAATATCTGATACAATGTTCTGAAAATATAAACAAACACTTCCATAGACAATTTCCCTAGTTCATTAATTTCCCAATAATGATTTTAAAATATAGGAATATATTCAACTCAAGATAATCAAATAATTAAGGCATTATTCTGAAATTGAGTCCTTTACAATATTACAAGCTGATTCTATCAAAGATGTAATTTAATGATCAATAAAATTTATTTTCACAAGTACACTCTTCACGTCTCTTAGACATTCAAGAAGGGTTTCATTTCGTTGTCCTCGATTCTAGATCCGATAAAACTACTGAGAGTACTTTTTGTATTATACATGTACTTTTAAATTAATAATTCTAGTTTATTTCTTTTATTACCTACTCAGATTGAAAAAGTAAGAAGATCTATCAGAGATGACAGTAGTAAAAGAAATCAGGGAATCTCTAGAAGAAAAAAAAAACGAGGATAATTCCACGATTGTTCTAATTCAAGTCTATTATCTTTTCTTGGAGGTGAAATCTGAAAAAAAAACACACCGAAAAATCAAATCTTAAATTCATAACCGAATTAACTCATCGAATTAAATATATTTGAATGTTCGAATACTCGTTTACACCCCTATTGATTAGATATGTTTGGTTTTTGTTTGGATTTTTTCTTTTACTAATGACAATGCTGTTCATCAAAATTGTAAAAATCCTTCTACAATATTTTTAAAAACAAATCACAGATCATTTTTTTTTATTCTTGTAGCAAAGGCAACACTTTCATCAATTATGCCAATTTATTGAAGCCAAAAGCAAAAACTATAGAAAGAGTAGTATTTTGAAATAATGTTACAAATTATTTTATTTTTGATAGTATTGCAAGACCGTTCTATGAATTCAATGCATGGTATCTTGGTTCTAGATATTCTTTTCAAGTGTACAGAGTCTTATTGAACAAAAACAAGAAAATCGCAGATCTGTTTTTGTATTAGTATGAAACAGAATTGTAATCAAAATTTCTACATAAAAAGCTTAAGTCGCTTTCTGTGGCCTTCATATCGACTTGTTTACAAATACAATCTTTCGTTAGATCGATATGTCGACTGGCGTCTTTCATACAAATCGTTGGGCCATTATATTCACACTGAACTGTCTACAGATTTTTCTGTTTACCCGATCATGACAAGGGGCACACGGCCGGAGTGATCGGTCGATAAAGGGTGCTCTTCTTCCATGACACCTGATCACATCTCTGCTTTTCAGAGGTCTGTATTTGCTCTGCACACAATTTATATTGTTGAATTCGACTTAGGAACATGATTACTGTTCAATATCTTCAAAGTTAATTATAAATCTTCCTTTTTGAAAACAATAAGCCGTGATTAGTGATATAAATAAAATAATACAATCATTCTCATGAAGTGCAGATTCATTTTTTTTCAATCAAGTCCCACCACTTTTGCGTAGGGTAGGATTGGGCCCAATAGGGGACAGAAGTTTTAAATGGGAATATATAAGGAAATTCTTTTACTATCGTCTTCTCAAGAACAACGGGGCCATGATTAGTGATAATAATGGATGAAAGCATTTAACGCAGTGTAGATTCAAGTTTCACTTGGGTGAATACTTTGCTTTATGGGTTTCTTGTTATGTCTATTTCAAATGTTTTATCTAGAACCTAAAATAGGTTTCAAATCTCATGCTTTCAAAGATACTTGGAACATAAACACTGTCGTATGTCGTTCCACTTTACTTTTTTTAAAAATATATAATCTTCCATATTTTTTTTTCAGTACAAGAAAATGACTATTGTCTTCCAATAAGGTATGGACTATAAATATAAGTTCAATCAACCCAGAGATCTTACAGTAAAACTGGTTTTGAATTTAAAGAATCTAAGAATAAAATGCGAAGATAACAAATCTCAGTAAGGAGGAAGCCACAAACAGTCAATGATATGTAAATGAATTCAATGAGTATAAATTTAAATTTGTTTACATTAATAACCATTTTCACCAAGTGGAGACATATTAGGTTTCTTAGGTCATACAAGGGAGTAGATATTAAGACATATAAGATATATATATATATATATATATATATATATATATATATATATATATATATATATATATATAAACAATTCTAAATACTGTCAATTTATATACACCCATACCATATAAGCTGATGGGGATAAATTGACGTTAATGGTAATCTAACAACCAAGCTTTATGATAAATGTGATGACTTTAACTTTTCAATCGTTAACTTCCCTTATTTATGCAGAAATATACCTTCATCACCTGCATACGGGGTTTATATCTCTCAGTTCATTCGATACGCAAGAGCATGATCTACGTATGTACAATTTCTAAAACGAGGTAAATTATTTACAAACAAGCTGATGAAACAAGAATATCAGCAGTCTTGTTTAAAGTCATCATTTCGTAAGTTCTATGGTCGATACAATGACCTTGTCAGGAAATACAATTTATCATTGAGTAAATGCTGTTTTTCATACTAATTGATAGGCCATTATTTACACACTGAGTTGTCGATGGATATTTTCGTTATTTCCTGATCATGACAGGAAGCACACGGCGGGTGTGACCGGTCAGCAGGGAATGCTCACTCCTCCATGGCACACTTTTGATGTTTCGGAGGTCCGTGTTTGCTCTCCTCCTATTTTATATTGTTTAATGGACTTTTTAGCTTGAAAACTGTTTGTTACTTCTATACATTTCATTGTATCATAAAGATACAAATCTTTCCTGGATATCAAGGCCACAAAAGGTCGTGTGTTCAAGAAAATGAAGGTTAAAATTTGTCTACATAATTTTATATGTTATGGATCTCAAGTTAAACAAGGAGTAGACAAAAGAAATTCATAATATGGCCACACGTAACTTGCGAAATTCAGCTGACCGTTACGATCAACAACTTTCCCTCTCTTTATAACACTTATCATGGTAAAATTGCTTACCTTTATACTCACAAATTATCGATTAATGATTCTATTTAAGAGATTAAAAAAATCTGTGGTTTGTTTGCATTGTTACCAAAAATCGTTTTGATGATAACGTATTGCATTGCTTCTCAGCCAAGTGTATCTAACGGAGAAAGGATAGTGGTGGGGGTGAAGAGAAGAGTGCCATCTTGATTGACTCCACAGCTCTTGTAAAACTTTCCATCTTTTTATAGAATGCAACAAAACCCGGAAGCTTGTTTTAGCATAGAGGTAGTACAAACGCCACCGGATCCCTTTTTTCCACCAGACAAAACCTGCATGAACTTCGTCCGCCATGCTGGTGCTCCGCCAATGGGATGCATGAATGGTCAGATGATATTTTTCAAACAAAGTCAATAACCAAACAACTAATTCAAAAAGCTTTCATGGATATCACGTTTTATAGATGTAATACGTAGTCCTACTTCTATCAATCTGACGCTGAAAATGAGAAGAAAAAAAACCAGGAACTGGTTTTCACAATGTTTAAATCCCTAGCTCTACATCTCTTTTAATTATTATTTCATGGAGGTCTCTACAGTGTTATATATTTGATAAAGTGCAATTAGTTATTACTAAGGAGCTACTATAGGAATATGTCATTTGTAGGTGTTCGCGAGCAAATCAACCAGAGAACAGCTTTTGTGGATGGCTCAATGATTTATGGCTCTGAAGTCAGCTTAGAACTTGAGCTAATTATAAGAGGGGGAGTATCAAGAGGTCATCAGATGTATCAGTTGTTTTAATAATATTTCTGTCATTGATTTCACTCTCTCTCTCTCTCTCTCTCTCTCTCTCTATATATATATATATATATATATATATATGAATTAAAAGATGGTTTGTAAATGGAGGAAAGATTCACACCAATGGTACACCAAGAACATTCATAAATATTTTCTAAAAAGTAAGTTAAGCAGTTATTGTTAACTACAACCTAACTTTGGTTCTAGCATTAGGACGACTTGCTGTAAACGATCAGAATCTGCTCCCTCCCAATCCTCAGGGATGTCCTGCTTTGGCACCCCGAGCAATGCGCCCATGTTTCATAGCAGGTAATTTTATTGCTCCCTGATTGCGATATACTTGTATGGTGTTCTATGCATGAATATATTACATGTGACATTTTTGTCTGTTGATAGGAGATCATAGGCAAAGCGAGACACCTACTCTAACTGTTCCACACATCACGTGGTTAAGACGTCATAATCTCATTGCTGACGCATTAAGACAAGCCACTGGCATCACGGATGACGAGACTCTTTTTCAAGAAGCCAAAAGAATTGTTATAGCAGAGCTTCAACATGTTACATACAATGAATTTTTGCCTGCCATTCTTGATAATTTACATATGAATGCTTTCAATCTCAGATCAAAACCAGTGGGACATGCTGATTCTTACAACCCTAAGGTTGACCCAAGAACAATAAATGCATTCGGTGTTGCAGCCTATCGTATGGGTCATAGTTTAGTCAGAAATACTGTAGGTCATGATATAGGGAACGGAGATCGTTTTACATTTCCGGTGAATAAACACTTCGAGCGTCCTGATTTGATGTATGAAAAGGGATATGAATTCATGGCTCGTTGGATGTCACGAGAACCTAAATCTAGATCTGATAGATACTTGGTAGACGCTATTAGAGATAGATTGTTTAAATTTCCACCAATGCCAGGGACGCCCCCATCAGAAACATTGTCTATGGATTTGGGAGCCTTAAACGTACAGAGAGGCCGTGATCACGGCATACCTCCCTACAACGCTTACAGAGAATTCTGTGGACTTCAAAGAGCGCGTTTCTTTGCCACTGCTCCAGGGGGACTGGTCGATCATACTCCACAAGCAGCAGCTGCACTTCAGCGAACCTATCGGTAATTTTGTGGGGTTTTAAACTTAAAACCGAAATAACCGAAAGAGTGGAGGTTTATTTTATTTTAAAACCCATTTTACTCAATTTATAGTATCATGCTGCAAGCGTAATTGTACATCTGACAATCTATATCAGGTGGATCTGAATAAAAACATGATAAAAATTGAACTCGAAATAAACTCAAAATAAAAAAAAAAATATTACAGTCTGACACATCTGTTTCATATTTATAAACACTGATGGCAAACTAACAACTAAACACACTGCGAACGATAGTATTGTTTTGCTCCAGGTCAATTTCAAAAGTCATCATATTCCAATTTTTTTTTTTATTTATTCACCACAATGCCAATAAAAATTGATATACAGCAAATTCATCTCAAAACTTTTGATCGGGTTCGGGGTGGGGGCTAAGTTTACAGATGATAATACAGGGAAAATGTGTTCATTTAATCATCAGTTTCAAATAATATAGAACCACAGGCTTTTACTTAATGAATGAGACATAGTTAAATTTACATTATGAAACTGAAAGATTAGGAGGTCATTTATCAACAAACATGAGTTTTTGAAAATCCGATGAACTTTTTAAAGGATGATTTTCATGAATTTTACACCCCTGTATTAGAAAGAATTGTAATTAAGAGCAATTAATTAACACTGATGTTAGATTTATTGATCAATTACTTATGAACTGCATGTATACTTTACCTCCAAAACAAATTTAAAAACCAATTTTTCTAAACGTTTGAATTATGGGTGAGTAAAATGGCGGCAGGAATCGGGAGTAAGCGTTCGCAGTTCTTTATGTTAAAAGTGATAACTTCAAGTTTTCCATCTATCGTGAACTTCCCTTATTTATGTAGCAACATACCATTATCACCTGTATATTGAATTTATGCCTCCCAGTTGATGATACACAAGAGCTTTGTTGCGAATGCATGTACAATATCTCGTTAGGTCAAATGTTGACTAACGTCTATAAAGACGTTATTCATATAAATTGTTAGGCCATTTAGAAAAAAAAGTTATCATGGTATCATTATGGATCTTAGCACAAAACAACCCTCAAAACAATAACTTTTACATAGATACCTCGCGGGTTCCAGTAAATGTTCAACCAAGCCTCTATCTTTACTCCTCACTAAGATATTAACAGTGGTGAAGGAGAAACTTCAAGAGTACTGTGCAACAGTATATTCGGAAATTTGTGTAAATCAGATGTAGATACTTAAAAATTCCGAGGAACTTTTGGAAAATTTGAAATCACAAGATTTTACCAAAATCAACAGCTTAAAAACTTACGACTTTTCAACTTTATACACAACCATTCCCCACGATAAATTAAAGTCCAGGCTTTTTGATATCATTGACAGCTGCTTTTTCAATAAAAATGGAACTCGTAAATATACTTACCTTGTCATTGGTCATTTGCAAAATTATTTTGTTAAAAAACATTCTGATTGTACACACAAGTACTCTGAAGTTGACATTAAAAAGATGCTTGAGTTTCTGATTGACAATCTAACAACCAAGCTTTATGATAAACGTGATGACTTTAACTTTTCAATCGTCAACTTCCCTTACTTATGCAGCAATATACCTTCACCACCTGCATACGGGGTATATATCTCTCAGTTGATTCGATACGCAAGAGCATGCTCTACGTATGTACAATTTCTAAAACGAGGTAAATTATTGACAAACAAGTTGATGAAACAAGAATATCAGCAGTCTCGTTTAAAGTCATCATTTCGTAAGATCTATGGTCGATACAATGACCTTGTCAGCAAATACAATTTATCATTGAGTCAAATGCTGACTGACATTTTTCATACTAATTGTTAAGCCATTATTTACACACTGAATTGTCGATGGATTTTTCCGTTATTTCCCGATCATGACAAGGAGCACACGGCGGGTGTGACTGGTCGGTAGGGGATGCTCACTCCTCCATGGCACCTGATCCCACCTCTGATGTTTGGAGGTCCCTGTTTGCTCTGCTCCTATTTTGTATTGTATAATGGACTTTTGAGCTTGAATACTGTTCGTTTATCTCCATATATTTCATTTTTCCCATTTGCACAGTATGCTACGATACATAGATTATTTGATTGATGGTTTTACAGCCCTGAACAATAAGAATACTTTCACCTTCTAGGCATCTGATTCCATCTCTGGAATTTCTAGGGATCTGTATTTTATGCCCTCTTCACATATTTGTATTGTTTATGGATTTTCTGAGATCGATCACTGTTTGTTATCTTTACCTTTTACATACCAAAGTACTTTAAACTTATGTAAAATCAGTTTTTGGTTGTCTCCGAAAAGATTTGTTGATAAGTTAACAGTTATCTTTCTTGCACTAAGAGGACTCGCATGTATTTTAAATTAATAGTTTTTTTTACCTTACATTCGTTTCTAGACATCCTGATGATATAGACCTCTTTGCTGGTGGTATGTCTGAGATTCCTCGACCAGGAAGTATTCTAGGGCCCACGTTCCAATGTCTCATCGCCCTTCAGTTCAGCTTCTACAAACATGGCGACCGGTTCTGGTACGAGCGCACTTCCCCCGAAAACCCAGTGACTGCTTTTACATCTGGTAAACTAAAGCTTTTTAATGAAATAAATCATTTTTGTATAACTATAGAAGTATTATCAGTGACATACAGTTTCGTGAGTCAACTTTTAAAACATAATTTATTTACAGCCCAACTTGCTCAAATCAAACAGATCACGTACTCAAAGATTCTCTGCTCTGTCGTAAAGAATACTGGAATCATTCCATCCTTCCAACCTAGATTAATGTTACGACCTAACATTCAAGGGTAATCTCTCTCTCTCTCTCTCTCTCTCTCTCTCTCTCTCTCTCTCTCTCTCTCTCTCTCTCTGTGTGTGTATGTGAGGGTGTGTGTGTGTGTATGTGTATGTGTATGATCCTATATCTGTTATTAATCGCTAACATAATGCGAAAGTCGGTGATGCATTGTACTTTTTACGAATCTTAAGCATTATTTTACAGTAATTCACCAGTGCCATGCACATTGCTTTTGCAAGGAAGTCGCCTTGGATTCGACATTAGGCCATTTGCACAACAGCTGCTTCAATTAGGCGGTCGCCGATTCCGAAGGACATATTAAAGCTTAGGCAACTTAATCCAGGCATGCGACGAAAAACCCTTTATCGAGATCAATGGATAGTCGTACGAAAACAGATATAATGCGTGTGATTCCCATAAATTATAGATCGTATAAAAGAAGTGAAACAGGAGCAGTTCTGGATATACGAAAAACACTAAAATTTTCAACAGTTATAGTATTAATGTTGATTTGATACTTGAACTATGTTACTGGTTTACATTTAGAATTGTGTTATCTGTTGCAACAGTAGTCCAAAATCCTCTCATTTTAGCCAAGTGAATAGGACAGCAATGACATATTAACATTGTACAGGAAAGTTAGACTTGATAATTCGATTTTTCTTAAATCAATTTCTGATGCGTTTCTCTTCATTAACATGTGTTGCTTTCCAAATTGTATGCTTTACCCCCCCCCCCCTTGCCCAATAAGTAAAACATAAAGATTAAAAGGATTTTAAGAATCAAGAAAACAGGTTCACAGTTGTTTTTCATGTATAGCTTCTAATTTAAAACTAGTGTTCCAGGAAACACACGTGTCATCTCCTATAGTATCATTAAACATATAAACAAAGCTAAGGGTGGTCACTTATTTATTTGCATACTAGTATTTTAGTTCATGCATTTGCCTGCAAAGAAAATATTCTCGGAGAATGACTGTGATAGAAAAGCATTTATCATGAAGTGTGATAATCAAATAGAAATATGTTTCCTTAACCTTTAAAGTTAAAATGATTAATGAAATTGAAATATAATCATAAAAAATAATTTATGTACACTATTCATATGTGTTTAATTCAACAATCCCGCAGATTTGTAACTGGAAAGAGATTTCGGTCTGTCTTTTCTGCAGTCTACAACATACCTATCCCGATGTATTTTCATAGTATTTAAAGTTCAGTTTGTTTGGTAACTGTACATATATATCACACAGTTCAAAAGTACAGTCTCATGAGATCATAAACATGTAATATATGATGAAAGTCTAGCGAAAACCACCATTATGTACATTCTTACGTTTAGAAAACGAGCCCTAAAGTTGACGTCATAAATTTAAGCCGTTTGTTGCATTCTGAGGTGTGAAGTCTGATTAAGAATAAGAATTTTCTTTGTAAAATTACATGAAATTAAACTGAAAAAAGAATTGTTTGTTTGTACTTAAAAAAAATATTAACGCTCCTTGAGTGGATCGAACCATTTTTTTTCTTTTTCATTGCACTGAACGGGTAAGCATACCACTGAGCTCTCATCTCTACACAAATTAATAATTTTTAGAACAACAATGAATCACCACAATTAAACATTGGAATTTTTTTCCGGAAAAAATTATTTTGCATCGTCTTTGCGTCTTCTCTCCATTTTTTCTTTACAAATGGTTTTTTTTTTTTTTTTTTTTTTTTTTTTTTTTGTTTTTTTTGGTTTTTTTTTTTTGAATGAAAATACATACAAATAATGTTTCAAAATCACAGAGATGACCCAAACATAGCAATTTTTTTTTAAAGAAATAAACGTGTTTAAAAATGTGATATTTTGTACCAAATGACTCATCTAACCAATACTATTTTGGTAAATTAAAATACAATATGGAGAAAATATTTCACTTTCCTATATCACAGGAACCCGATACATCAAAAGAATGCTAAACTTTCATGTGACAGATCAAGGAAATTTTCACTTTTCGAGTGCACTCAGATTCCTGCCGAATGCTAATGAAAAGCGCCCTCGTTCTTGGCTTGAATACAGTTTGTAATGAATACTGCTTACTAAATCGTTCTGAAGTACACGTCCTATCATCATGTCGTCTCAATATAAAAATTATATAGCTCGAAACTTGTTCGTTATCTCCACATATTTCATATTTCTTTTTTTCTAGATAACCTATCCTGTCTCAATGACAAAACCAAATCAGTTAAGAAAAACATACATATTCTAACAAATAGATTATAAACGATGAAATGAAAGTTTAAGCTATAACAAGTTTCCATGATTCCAGTGTGTTTTGGCAATTTTAGTAAAATTAATTGTGCAATTCAAGATAACAAATATCCTAATTGATAATTGTATGTCAGGTATCTTTAATAATAATGCAAACGTCCTTATGAGTTTGAATGAGAAAAATGCATTACCCGTGTCGGAATTAATAAAATTTTATTTGGATTCTTTTTTTCAAAGTGATGGCCGCAGTCATGCAGCAGAACTTCAAGAGGAAATTGGCTCGGTTTGACATTACATTGTCTGTATGGCAACTTTTGCGTTTGAGAGACGCGTAGTTTTACAGGACTCTATTCCAAGGTATCCAAGCACAAGAAAATTAATTCGATTCCTGACTACCTGTCCCTAATCAATCCTGGAAGTTTCTTCCCGATTTGGAAAGGAAAAGCATTTAGTCGACCCAGAAGAACTTTATAATTTCATAGTAAGAAAAGATAGTTGACTTGTTTATTCCAGTCATTAATGGTAATCATACTCAAAATCCAATTAAACAATTCAAAATGTGATCAGAGCAAACACGGAGTTCTTAATATAGATGTGGGATCAGGTGCCATGGAGGAATTAATATCCCCAGTCGACCAGTCACATCCTCCGTGCGTAATCGAGTAAAGGGAATAATACGTAGACAATTCGGTGTGAAAATAATAATCTAGCAATTCTTTAAAGGACGTCAATCAATATTCGACCTAACAATAATTTGTATTTGTAAACAAGGTTATTGTATCCACCATAAAATTTAAGAAATGTTGACTTTAAACGAGATTGCTGATATTCTTGTATTATTACCTTCTCTGTCAGTAGCCTGCCTTATTTTAGAGGTAGATGGTACGTAGAAAAGCTCTTGCGTATCGAATCAGCTGGGAGACGCAAACTCCACAGTGAAAATGATATATTGCGAAATGAATAAGGGAAGTTGACGATAAAAAAGTTGAAGTTATCGCTTTTATAACAAAATTTTGTTGATTGTTTGCCATCACTTTCTTTCCTAGAAAAACATATATATTTGAAAAAAAAAATTAGACTCAGTGGTTCCTTTATTTCGAGTTAATAGGGATATATTGAATTAATGTAGGAATGAATATTGTCGATTGATAAAATGACGTCGATGTATTTAATTGTTGAGTTGAAGGCCAGTGTAAAATACTTCTTTACATGTAGACGCTGTTTCATAAGAATACAAAACAGGTCTGCAAATAACGGGGCACAAGAAGAACCCATGGGAATTCCAATAAATTGTTGGAAGAACCTGTCTCCAAAAAATTACATAGATTTTGTCAATGAGAAACTCGAGCACCTTTTTTAATATCAACCTTGGAGTACTTGTATGTAAAATCAGAATGTTAATAAGAAAGAAAAGTTTGTAGATGACCAGTGACAAAGTATGCAAATTTACGCGTTCCATTTTTATTGAAGATTCAGTTGTCTTTGACACCAAGGAGAATATTCTTAAATTTATCGTTTGGAATGGTTGTAAAAGGAATTGAAATGTGATACATTTTGATGCTACAAAGAGCCTTTGAATCCAGTAATTAACTTACACAGATGAAAATTAACACATTTCAAACATATATTTTTATTTTCGGATCAGTAAAAAAGTAATAAAAGAAATACATCAAAACTATGCAAATATGTATGTATTATGGTAAACAGATTCAAATCAAAATAACATAATGATGTACAAAATATAAAAATAAAAAGCTCTATTATCAGATTTTGGTTTTCCTAGAAAAAAATATGTTTATTCAGACCTTGATACTATCTGACTCTTCGATTAAATTTATGTGAAATGTCACAGAAGCTGAGGTTCGTTTGAAATCCTGAACAAACGTGGCAAAAAATAGAAGGAACACAATACAAGTCAACCACTCACTGATAGCCGCTGTCACGTGTGCTGGATATCCCTAAAAATAACCAAATATGGAGATAACGAACAGTAATCAGGCGCAGAAGGCCATAGAAAAAATACAAAATCAGAAGCAGAGCAAACAGGGACCTTAAAAACATCATAGGTGGGATCAGGTGACAAGAAGGAGTAAGCATCCCCTGCTTACCGGTCAAACCTACCGTCATAATCATGAAAACGAAAAAATACGTAATTCAATGTATGAATAAGGCCGTTGTATCGACCATGATGACTTTTAAAGAGACTGTTGATATTCTTGTGTCATCAACTTGTATGTCAAAAGCTTGCCTCGTTTTAGGATATTGTCCGAGCGTAGAGTATAAATATATACTTGATACATGTAATTAACATAATGTTTTTTTTCTTCATCCATTTAAAGCCTATACTAAATCGGTACAAAATTACATCATTTTAGACCACCCCGGATGAGAGAGCACTGGCAAACAAAAACATAAAAATGTAATCAATTTTAATCCAATTTGGTGTATTTGTTTGCGGTTCACTGATGTATTTGATAAAGTATAATTTTTAACTCATTCTTCTTTGATGTTGTCAGAGATCCTTAAATGATCCATAATTGCCCTACTCAAAGATTTGCATTATTTAATTGAACTTTTGGGAATAAATTCTGTTTATTATCTTTACATTTCACTTAAAATATGAATTATAATTGAATGAATGAACTTTAAATTTCAAATTTATTTTTAATGTAAAAGGTAAAGATAACGAACAGTGATCGATCTCAAAAACTCCATCTACTATACAAATATGTAAATAGGGCATAAAACACGGACCCCTGGAAATTCCAGAGGTGGGTCAGGTGTCTAGGAGAAGTAAGCATCCCCTGTTGACCTGTCACACCTGTCGTGAGCCCCATGTTTTGATCAGATAGACGGAACTATCCGTAGTCAATTCAGTGCATAAACAAAGGCCTAACAATTGGTATGAAACAAGTCGGCCAAAATACGACCAAATGATAGTTTATATTTGCTAACAAGATCATTATAACGACCAAAAAATGTACGAAATGCTGACGTTAAACGAAGCTGTTGAAATCCCTGTAACATTAACTTATCAGTGAGTAGCCTGCTTCGCTTTAAAAATTGATCGTACTCAGAACAAGCTCTTGAGTAGCGAATAAATTGGGAGACATAAACACCATAAGCAGGGTACAGTGGAATATTACTACATAAATAAGGAAAGTTGATGATGGAAAAACCAAAGTCATCTCGTTTGTCAAACAATTTAATTGTTAATCAGCCTTTGTCGTCTATAGTCAGTAAAACATCTAAATATGACAGATTTGGCAGACTCTGTGGTGTCATTTGTATCAATGTACTTTCAATAATTTTGCTTTGAAGAAAAATATTTTCTAAACGTAAAAAGAAATCTTACCAATTTCTTGGTAGGGTTTTTTTCTGAAAGAAAGAATAATGTGATAATATTGAACATAGGTATCTATGCGGAAATTTAAACAATTTCTTACCTTGTCAGATGACTTCCAATGTAAAGGATCAGTAGCGGATGAACGCTGAGCTTTGGCAACCAGAGTGGCAATTAAAACTTTTAATTTTGTTAAAGAAGTTGAAATACTGTAAAATCATTCAAATATTTACATGTATTTCTTTGTTAGATGTGAATTTATTTAGCGATTTCTTCCCTGTTTGATACAGTATTTACCTTCAGTGTAATTTTCTATATGAAATTCATTGGAAATGTACAACGTTCAACCCCATATAAAACACACAAAACCTTATCACGGCACTGTAGAATAAACATTAGGAACTACATACAGTGCCTTCATACTAGAAACACCAAAATGTACATTCTTTTTGCTCAATTTTATTTAAATCAATTACCCTGTTGAATTGTTGTAAAAATAAAATCACTGTATGTTTATATTTAATTTGCCATTTAAAAATGCAGGAAATTAATATTAATGGAGAAAATATTATAGTAAATGTAATGCAGGTATTCAATTTGTCGGCACGGCCATGTGCTGTTATTCGACGGACATTCAATGCATAAATCAATTATTTCTCTAAAAAACATTTTGTGTTCATTTCTACAGAAATTAGATTAATATTGACTTTTTGAAATTTCTGGACATGTTTGATATTGAAAAAAAAAAAAAAAAAAAAAAAAAAAATCAGCCTTATCTGCAGTTTATTCTATATTGCATTATCAAGTTTTAGGTGATAAGAGATCTGCCATGGTTTTTGGTTGCGTAAGAGTTGTGCGTTTTCTATCCCCGAACCTTGGAAAGGAGATAAAACACATGAGTTTGATAAAAATCATATCCAACGCAAAACCATTGCAGAGTCTTTTTATCACTTGTTACAGTATATATGGCTTTAGCATGTTTACACAGTTTTAATTTATACAATGTACATATGTATATGAATGCACTTAATTTCTCTTCATAACTTCCACATAAAAACTATTGCAAAGTCACAAATGTTTATATAAAAACAATATCATATGACTGAAATCCACTATATAAAGGAGTAAACAGGTGATAAAATAAGGTATCTTCTCCCTGAAATGATTTCCTGACGATCTATTAATTTGAACACCCCTTCCCCAAAGTGGAAATGCAATAATAAAATGCATTTATCAACAAAATCATGTTGATAATCGTGATTAAAAAGAATCGTTAGCCATTTCAAAGGATACATGAAGCCGCTGTGATTGTACACGATATGGACATTGCCAGCCGAACTCTACTTAGGGTCAAGGTGTCGGACATTTTGTACGATAGGACAGTGTGTAGATACATGTACAAGATACCAAAACCAATTGTCATCGCTGCCCCAGTCATGTGAACACCCTCTAAGTTCGTTTCCTTTAAAATGGCATAGAGATACATTACCCATAATTCATTTTTGCGTCCAAAAAAGGTCTTTCAACATATCCGAATGCAAGCATTGTGAAAAAGAAGATTGATATGTATGATCAAATTTTTAGAGAAAAAAAAAAACAGATAGAAGAAAACTATGTGCAATTATTGCGTTCAGAGTAATTAAGATGTAACCTGAAAATTTGCCACAAGTCCGAGACCCAGAGATGAGAACCATCCAAACATCAAACTTAGAATATTATAACACCGGAGCGATCTCTCTTCGTTTGACACCATACGGATCCAACGATATCTGATGTACATCGTGCAAAACGCTGAAACAGTATTTCAGTTGTTACAATATTTGATAGTAGGAAACAAATGAAGTAATTTTAATGTTTGATATCAATTTTTGACTTTGATAAAGTAACTATGATTTTTCTTGGAATTAAAAAGTTTTTAAAACAGAGACTTTTGGGTTAATTATGCAAGGGTATGAAATGTATGAAAATTCATGAATATTTTTAACATATAAAGTCAGAAAAAGAATTATCATGTTGGCGTACCAGCTATGGCAGAGATATTCAGGAAAAAACTGAATAAGCAACTTTCATATGGCGTCGTTCCTGTGTCACTATGAAAAAGAATACTGATTTTTGTAATACCGGTATCTACAACTAATAGGATAATAAAGTAATGTGAAGACATCTTTATTTCTTATCGGCAAAAATTTAGTAAGGAACATCACATGAATCCTTTCAGTTAATGTAAGTTATTTCCCCAACACTTTAATCCTGTCCGTGACATTACCTGATATATGGTAGAACTGGGTTCACATCGTTTCTAACGACTGACAGAATGTAGGTCACACAAAATGTTGTCAAGGAAACAAGTACAACACAAATAGGGAAGAAGTGTAACCCATTACACATTTTTACCTGAATGAATAAAAGCCATTTTATTATACAAATCCCTAAGCAATGTCTGAAGTTCAGAAATGGCACATTTTGTTAGGTAAAAGTTATAAACTAAAGGTGTGATGGTCAAATGATGTGAACAGATTGATAATATCCATACTTACTATTGTCTGCCTGTCTGTCTGTGGTGCAGTTAAGGTCTCTGTAGTTTCTATGTTAATGCTGGGGACATTTTATACAGAACTATTTAATATTTAATACCTGCACGTGAAAACTCATAGTAATGTGAATCACTTCTATTTTTATCAATAAAGTGTAAACACAAGGAAGCCATTGCCCGTTTCATTCATGCAGATATCGAGAGATATAAATGGGGACGCTAAGAAGCATGTGACACAGGTCAATATTTAATCTGGTCTGAGGGGAGTGTGGCAGTGTTATCGATCATCATGAAATAGTTCACACACTCGCGTTTTTTTTATGTTCATTTGCATATATTATCCAGTTGTACTGAATTTTTCATTTTTTTTTAAATAATAATTTTTTAATAACTTCATTAAAGGTAATTCTTTGCATATAATACAATAACATAATAAAATTCAATGATCTAACTTCATTAGAGAGCGTTACATGAACCAGTTAACCAGTGAAATAGTCAAAGAGCGATGTTACGTTGTTCTACGGTGCCTCAAATGGAGAGAAACCTCATCTTAAATCAAGCTGACTTAAGGACAGATGATACAAACAAATTAATGGATGCCTGGATTGGTATATATTTTTGGATGCCAATGATGGGAATATTGAATTTCTAAAATATGTTTTAAAAATTGTTAGCTTCCTATGATTTTCAAAATTTTACTTTCTTGCAACCTTCCTTAAAAATATACAACTTTTTGTCTCTTTAAATCCATTTATTGTAAAACTTTGACTTTGAATAAAAAAAATTATAATCTATGCGGATAAACTTATTCATTTACTTACATAATTAAACAAGACTTCTTCAGTTGTTATTCTCAAGATTTTTATAAGAGTTTGTAACATCTGTCATTAAGAGAGTTCTTCCTCTTTGCCGTCTACAGTATAAGCATGGGGAAATAAATATGGGATGTAATTCCATTGAAATATTTTAAAAATAGCTCAATCATTTAATAACAGTTATTTCTGCGATAATTGTTCAATCAATATCATAATCATGTGAGAGGTGTGCACATGAAAATCGTGCAATTTCTTTATAAAATAAATTCCAAATGTAATATCTGATGTCACAAGGAAACATGGACGCAAACAATTCATGTGTACCTTCACTAATTTACAAATAATACAGCTTATGATTTATGATACAGCTACAAGATATTTTCTTCATATAATATACACGGCTTTAAGGACCTATTCATTTTATTGCAGTAAAGTAAAATGAATTTACATTTATACTAACAAAATAACGAGATTTACATTTACTGGTAAAGTGTTCAAAGGAAAAAGAACAAGATGTTTAAACATAAATAACAAAAGACTTCTATTTTTTATGTCTTTTAACTGTAATCAGCAAGAATTAAAAAAATCTCACTTCCTTTCAAATTGAGACAGATTGTTGCACATCAAACCTCTTTTCATTGTTTTATTCATTTTCATCTTGATGAAGGTGTATGTTTGGACGAATATTCGATTGAAAAAGTTGTTTTATTCGTCTTTCCATTATGTTAACATTTTGTTGTTGTTTTTTTTCTTTGATCGCTTTCACGGGTAAAATGTAAATTTGATCCATTTGTTGGGGGCTATCATGTCAATGGTTATTCTTTTTCTTGGAACACACAAGTAATATCTCCTTTTCTCAAAAGTCTTGCCTATTTTGAAAATTGCAAAATGATACAAGAGGCCAATCGGCGATAAAGATCATTCCAGTATCATACTTGTTTAATGATATGAGATTCTAGCCCCACTTTCCAACTGGAAATATGGTCTCGTGTTACAGAATGGATGTATTCGGAATTTGAAAAGATCTATAGGAGAAAACAACTAGCCAGTTGGTGGTAGACTTATCCTTTCTACAACATTTTTTTCCGTTTTTCTGTATAACGTATATAGGATCACATATGTCAATACTAAGCTATAGATCTACCTAAAATTGTTTTTAAATAAGAAAATTAACATCTTATACAGTATCATTTTATCACGCACAAATTAAAATTAACCGTGGTCTTAGTGTGAACAAACTAGAGGCCCACATTGTGGTGAAGTTTATATAGGAAAATCTAAAAATTAGGATTACTGGTAAAATGTTTACATTACAGTGTATGCAGGATTTAAATTCTTGCAATGCTAAAGAATACTAAAAATGCTAGTGTATTTAATTCTCACAATGCTAAGGATGAAATATGGAGATAACGAACAGTATTCCAGCTCATAGACTATTTAAACAATAAAAAAAGCAAACACGGACCTCCAAAATCATCAGAGGCGGGATCAGGTGCAATGGAGGAGTGAGCATCTCCTGTTGACCGGTCACACCCGTGTGCTCCTTGTCATGATCGGGTAAACGGAAAAATCTGTAGAAATTTCAGTGTATAAATAAAAGCTCACATATAATATGAAAAACGCAAGTCAGCATTTGACCTAATGATAGATTGTATTTGTTGACAAGGTCATTGTATCAACCAAAGAACTTCGGAAATGATGGCTTCAAACGGACTGTTCATATCCTTGTTTCATCAACTTGTTGGTTAATGGCTTGCCTTGTTTTAAAAATTGATCGTAAGTAGAGCATGCTCTTGTGAATCGAATCAACTGGGAGGCATGAATCCCATATAAATGTAGGTGATAAGGGAATATTGCTACATAAGTAAGGGATGCTGACAATCGAAATGTTGAAGTCATCACGTTTATCATAAAGTTTTCTTGTTAGGTTATCATTGAAAGGTATTTTCGTACATTAAAATATCAAAGTGTGAAACAGATCTGTCAGGCTCTGTGGTAGGTCTGCAAATAACGGGGCGCAATATGTTCCAATGTGAATTCCAACAGATTGTTGGAAGACCTGATCTCGAAAAACTTCATGGATATTGTCAACCAGAAACTCAAGCATCTAGTGTTGCTGGAGATCTGCTAGTACTACCTACGTATCTTATTTAGCCTGGCGTTTCCTGAAAATAAATGCGCAAGTAAATTAATTCGAATTAATATAATTGGCATTAAATTCCCTGTGTGAACGCGGTTCAAATTTAATTCGCAGTAACTTACGTTTAATTCGAATTAAACTCTCCCTGTGAACTTGGCATAACAACGAAGCTTTATGATAAACGTGATGACTTTAACTTTTCTATCGTCAGCTTCCCTTACTCATGCAGCAAAATACCCTTACCACATGCATATAGAGTGTATATCTTTCAGTTGATTTGATACGCAAGAGCATGCTCTACATATGAACAATTTTAAAACGAGGTAAGTTATTGACAAACAAGTTGATGAAACAAGATTATGAACAGTCTCGTTTAAAGTCATCATTTCGTAAGTTCTATGGTCGATACAATGGTTTTGTCATTCTATCATTAAGTCATATACTGACTGACGTTTTTCATACTAATTGTTAGGCCATTATTTACACACTGAATTGTCGACGGATTTTTCCGTTATTTACCGATCATGACAAGGAACACACGGCGGGTGTAACCGGTCAGCAGGGGATGCTCATTCCTCCATGGCACCTGATCCCGTCTTTGATGTTTTAGAGGTCTGTATTTGCTCTGATTTGTATTGTTTTAATGGACTTTGTGCTTGAACATTGTTCGTTATCTGCATATTTCATAAAATAATAACCATACCAGTAAACTCCTTGGTTATAACTTAATAAACTTATAGCATCACATGTGACCTCTGTTTTCTTTCCTGTGTTTCTTATTTGGTTGTAATGTGGATATTAAATAAAAGAAGAAAGAGATAAAAAGCCAGTATGAGAAAAGGTGTAATAAAGTGTTGGACCATAGATTCCATTATATATATATATATATATATATATATATATATATATATATATATATATATATATATATACGTTTGTATCAAGTTTCAGAAGAAGGCTAAGAATAACTGAGAGGTAAAAATGATTTGTAAATGACAGTTTCTATGTTTTTTGTGTATTAGGATGAGGACCGACCTAGAAGCACAGGATGACCAAAGTTACCTGAATATTAATAAAGTTTCAATAAAACAATAAAGTTCCTTCTTTATTGTTTTATACGGGATATGATGGTTGCAACATTACAGCAAGACGTTTTTGTTTCTTTTTCTTTAATAAAATCAATTAATTAATTAATTTTTTGTTAACTTATTCATCTTAAGTTGTTGTAAGTGCGTAAAATATCATATTATTACTTTACATAGACGGAAAAGCCATGAAACATTCGACTTTTAACTCATTTTTCATATGGCTTTGAAAAGCCGGATCTAAGTTGTAAATTAATACAATAATGATTTTGATAGTTCTGTAATCCATTTAACATCCCATCCTCCTTCAATGAATAAAAAAAAAATCGTTGCCACTTTTTTGAAGTTTAATAATTTGATTGATAATATAGTTTTCTCGTTTTTTTTTGTTTTGTTTTATTTTTTGTTTGTTTGAAGTAAGAAAACTTCATAAATACCTTGGTTCCTCTGTTTTGTTTTGATTGTATACTTGGTTTTTAGGTTATTTAGAAAGTTAGGATGTAGCATTTCAAATGCACTTGATTGTAGAAATTATTAAATATTACTTGCATATTCCAGGCCATATATAGCAGATTCAGCCGTTTGGACATATTGTTCAGTTTTACTGTTGTAAATAAAAATTCAAAATTGAGATGGCAACTTTGCTGCAGATGAGCTGATTAGAAATATTCAGGTGTATTTAGTGAGTGATCCTAAATTTCTACTCACGGTAAATACGGTAATTATTATTGTTTTTTAAATCTTTGTTGTTCACACCACTGGTCAACAGTTGTATATTTGGTTTCAAAAAGAAACTTGACGAAGTCATTTTAGAC